ACCTTAACATGAAACAGGGATTATAGGGAAAAAAATTTAAATTTAAATTTTAAATAGAAAGATAAAAGAAAATAATGCACAAGATAGTGATAAACAGGTCGAGCCTCGTTCCCTTGGTCAACTAATCATCAAGAGTTGACAGCCATTACCCCTTGAATTTGATATCAAAGTTTGAGATAAAACCTTGAAAGCACGTCCATTTATTCATCATGGTTCCACCCTTAATAATTGATCAATAATAGGTGATCATGCATTCCTTACACACGAGAAAACTATGAGAACCTTTCATATACATTTAATACTTGATTTTGATGATAGATATATACCTGGGTTTTCTACTCGGATGAGCTCTGCTGCCATGCTCAATCTGTCAATTTATCCAAAGGAGTTTTTATTATAAGTAGATCATGATCAAGTGTTTATATACGAAAACAAAGAAAGAAATAGTGAACCAAGTATAAGGAATTAACTACTTACAATTGAAATGGGGAAGCCTTCAGAAAATGCTTCAGCTTGAATTGGTGATCTATAGCATTGGTGCTGCTACATATATATAGATATACTAACAGGCAATGGTAAGATATCATATTATGCTGATAAACTGATAATTTGCTCCTTTTTAATTAAAATTCTAAAAGACGTTAGGTGCTATTCAGGTGGCAGGCTAGGCCTAGCGCTTAGGCGTATTAGGAAGAATTAAGTAAATCTATTATATTTCGTGTAAATAAATATATGTTTATGCTTAAAATATATATAATTTTATCATAAACTACAAAATTGAATGACATATACATTATGATGAAAACTTAGGAAACAAGCATATAATGTGTGTTTATTTCATTTAAGTATTTAACAAGTCTTTTACAATTTATTAAAAAAAATAAAATGCAAAATGAAAGTTATATATTTTTTCTCTGATTGAGTCGACACCTAGGCAAGTCTAGGAGGGCTAGGCGGGTGCCTAGGCGGTCTAAGAGTCCTTTCTTAATTTTCAAACGCATAGGTATTAATCGGGACAATGATTAGCCGCCTAGCGATTTTAAAATGTTTTTAATACGAAGTTGTCCTTTATTTTAGGGCATTGTTATTGGCACTCCAAAAATCTCATTTTGCATTCCAAACTTTCTATATATTTTTTTTTTAAAAACGATATTCACACTAAGGGAGAGGGGGTGGGCTTAGGGGCTAGCAATAATATTTTTCAAACTCGCATTTAGTGAGAATCGAACCTAAGACCTCTCACTTACAAGTGAAGAGGAATACTACTAGACCATAGTACTAAGTGGCTTTCAAAGGAAAAATAAAACTTTCTATAATTAGAAGAAAAAAAATACATTTGTGAGAAGATGATAATTTATAATGCTAATAACAGTTCTCATATTTTACTGATGTACGCTATGGATCGACATGGTAACAAATCTAAATTTAGAAATACTTGACAATATTAATCAAAGTAGTAAAAAAAAAAAAAAAAAAACCTTGTCTTTTGCAAAGAAAAATATGTTATTGCCATTTTTTTTATAATAGCAAGTTGACATGTTATGATACTTATTCATTTTTATTAATTGAGAAATGTTACACTTACCATTATTTTCATATAACATTAATTTAAAGATCAAATTAGCAGTATCAAGTAAGGCTTGCTGGGAGTTAGAAGCCATACTTTGCATACAAATTAATTTACGGATCAAAGCAACAGTATCAAGAAAGCCTAGCTAGGAGTTAGAAGCCATACTTGGCGTACAAATTAATATAAGGATCAAAGCAACAATATCAAGTAAGCCTAGCGAGGACCTGGAAATTTAGAAGCCATACTTTGCCTACAAAATTAATCTAAGGATCAAAGTAGCAGTATCAAGTAAGCTTAGCTGGGACATGGTAATTTAGAAGCCAGACTTTGCCTACAAATTAATCTAGGAATCAAACGAGCAGTATCAAGTAAGCCGAGCTGGGAGTTAAAGCCATACTTTGCGTACAAATTAATTTAAGGATCAAAGCAGCAATATCAAGAAAGCCTAGCTGGGACCTGGGAATTTAGAAGCCATACTTTGCCTACAAATTGATCTAGGGATCAAATGAGCAGTATGAAGTAAGCCTAGCTGGGAGTTAGAAGCCATATTTTGCGTACAAATTAATTTAAGGATCAAAGCAGTAATATCAACTAAGTCTACTAAAATGACAAAAATACACTCAATAATAAACAATGGGCCAAAATAATTTGACAAAAATTGAGGGTATTGCTGTCATTTTATCCTTATTTAATGGAGATTTTTCACGGAATGACCAAAATGATTGACGGTGGACAAACTCATGACCACTTCTATTAATTTCAAATCTCATGAATCAAAGTTAGTTATGCTAACCTGAGGGACCATTTTGATTAAAAAAAACTTTTTATAATTTGCTCAAGTGGCACTAAACTTCCAAAAACATCGAAAACAAGGGATTCATTTCCTCCGAGGATCATGTGTTTTTTTTTTTTTTTTTGGTGATGCTAGAGAGTGAATATTTAGTTATGTTTTCTAGATCATATAATGTAACGGTTGATAATTGAACTCCTTTTTAAATCATTAAAACAAGAGTCAAACCATCAACCACCACATCTGTTAATCAACAAAAATATTGTCTAAAAATTTAGGGTCTGTTTGGTACTCTACTTGAATCCAACTTTATAAACTCAAAAACAATTTTCAAGTTTTAGACCTTAAAAACTTGTTTGGTATGATTATTTTTAAAAACTGAACTAAAAAATATAGTATATTCTCTAGAAAAACAAAAAGTGAGTTTTTAGAGTTTTTAAACTTAAACTCACTCATTTCTTTTCTCTCCCTCCTCCTGTCTCACTCTAAATCTATCTCTCTCTTTTCTTCTTTCTATCTCTCCCTCCTCTTTTTTGGTACTTTTTTCGTCTCTCTTCCAATCCGTTCTCTTTATTCTCTTGTTTTTTCTCTCACGTTTTCCTCTCTCTTCTTTCTCTTTCCTCCAAGCATATCTTATTTCTCATCTCTCCTCTTTCTCCCTTGACCTCCTTTTTTTGAATCTCACTGTCTAATTTAAGTTGTAAGATTTAATTTTTTTAAATCGCATATCAAACAAGTTTTTGAGTTTTAAAGAAAAATTGTTAAAAAATATTTTGAAAAATGATAAAAACTTTCAAATATGATATCAAACAAGTCCTTAGACTCTAGCATTTTCTGTATTTTTTTTGTTCAAACACTAGCATATTTTTACATTTACTTTTACCCCACGCCAAAACGCAAAGTTTTGATATGGTCCAAAAAGTTGTGTCTTGGTCCTCACCTTGAACACAACGCGCGGAATTATATTGCCAGGAACGTCGTTACTGCAGGAGAATCAGGTACGAAACCCATTTGTTCTATTCAATTTTCTTTCATACCAGTCGATTAGATTCTTCAAATTTTACTTCGTTTGCTTTGTTTATCATCTTCTGCTCTGCACTTGTTGCTTTCTGTCAATTTGGGGGTTTAGGGTTTCTGTCAAATTTGGGGTTCTGGGTTTCTCTGTTTCTGTCCATTTGGGGCTTTTAGGTTTCTCAAAATGTTCAAAATGTTCATCTGCTTTCTGGTTGTGTTAGAACAAGTTCAAAATTTTGAAATTCTTGTGGAAATGGAACCGTAGAAAATAGGTTACCAAATTAATGTATTACTAATTACATTCACAAGTGGCTAATTAACAGGAAATCATTTGAAAGGGCAACAATTTAGCAATTACAAAGTTGAGCAGTCTGCTAATTGATTGTGTTATACTTGTACCAGTGTGACAGGGCTCCTGATGTTCTAGGATTCATACACCCGATCCCACTTAGTGAGATAAAACTTGGTTATTGTTGTTGTTTATACATACGTGAACATTTTACTTGCTGACAAAATTTCTACGTCGACGCATGATTAAGTGTAATAGGTTCCTTTCAAGTTTCCAGTTACATTATACCTTTTATTTGTTAGCAGAACACCAGAAAATGATTCCTTGTATGTTCTTCCACAAAAATGCTTCTCTAATAGGAAGCCGGCATTGTTTTCAATTTACTTTTCTTAATTAATTCTATCTATGAAGAAGGCAAGAAAAACTATGGAGGCTGCAAGATCATCTAAGAAAATTAATGCTAATGAGAAAAATGTTCTGGTACATCCCCTGCATCTGCGTGAAGGCGAAAGGCTGCCTCCTCTAATGAATCAGAGGTGGTTGATGATTCTGTAGAGGATAAACCATCTGTTGATGGTGTTGTAGACGACATCCAAGCTACGGACGATACAAATGTTGGGGCCACCGTCTTAGTTACAGACGATACAAATGTTGGGGCCAACATCTCCGCTACAGACGATGTTGGGGTCGATGCCGAAGCGACAGAGCCTTTTCCAGGAGGGCCGACATATACATCATTGCTAAAGAGTTTTAAGAGTCACGTTGCTGCGGCAGTTTGGAACAATGAGGTATGTTTAGTCTGGGTACATGACAGCGTTTTTAGGCACTTACCTGTTCCATGTTTTCAATCCAAATATCGTATTTGAATTTTGTCGAAAGGAACGTGGTCGGTTAAGGTGCATGTCCAAATGGAATACAGTGGAAGAATGGAAATGGCAGGACAAGCAAAATAATAACACTTTTAGGAAGTACATTACAGAGTCATGTTTGTTACCGCTGCTGGAGTGTACGTGTGTAAGAATGTTGTATCAGAACCCTCATTCGTTATACCTGACTGCCATGGTGATTCGATCCAAGACTTCCATTCCATTTCCAACTTCAATCTCACATTCGTAAATATATGATCCAAGACCATATTACCAATGAGTTTTATGGTGGAAGCTCAATTTTCTTCAAGTTTTCCAATTAAATTATATATATCTTCTGGAGAACAAATAAATAAAAAATTGAACAATGGCCTTTTTATTATAGGAACCAAACACTTAGTAGTGTGTACAATGCATACAAGCTTTCTTAGAAGTGAGAACATTACATTACTACAATTACACAATTAATGTATCGCATACCCCGTCAAGAATTTATATCCACTGTTTGATTTTCTTATCGAATACTCGTTCACAATAAGTAGACTTGAAAATCATAAAGAGCAGAGGAAGTTGCATCCCAATAAATAAAATGACGGGTATAGCAGCAAGGAAAATGAATGGATAAATAAACCATAATTTATCCTGAAACATGATGAATAGGGCAGATGAAAAGGCAACCATCATGGAGGCGATGGAGATCAAGAGTGCGGAAAGGCCTAGTATCATCTTTGTGGGTAGGGATTTAAGGAAATCATCTTCAGCATAACGCGATGTAAGGATGCTCAAAAATATCAACGCTGAAGTTGCAGAAGTACAAAGCGAAATAGCATCCGAACCTATAAAAACCATAAATACCTTTCCGTTTAAGAATATGGGAAACCCTGTCATTTGGTTGTTTCCACCAGGAACAGTATATACTGCAGCAAACATGATTGTAATAATGAGGGCATTGACAACCGTATAAGATTTTGCTGCACTTCTCATCCATTTTTCTCCATCCTCGAGCAATTCCTTGTGTTCCTCGGTAAATAATTGTGGGGGTGTTAAACCATCTTTGTTTAAAGTTGAGGCTCCCGAGAGTGGAACCACAATACTCTCTACCTCCTGCATTTCATTGAACAAAACTTATACATTGTAGTGATATGAGGTGATCGTGTTCTTTCGGTAATTATAAAGGAAAAAAAATGCTTCATTTGATGCATGTAGAATTTATATTATTCTTAGACGGCAATGGCATGGAACAAGGCAAGGAAGAAGTTAAATTTCAGGGTATTAAGTGACACAATTTGCATTTTGTGGGGTTAAGTATGCAGATTGAGTTTCAGGGGTCATAAATGTAATTAAGCGTAGAAGAATAATAAAAGATAATTCTAACCTTGTACCATTGCCTTTCTCTCTGCATTTGGAAGGCTGCACCCGCAATACGATCAAGCTTTCTGCTTGCCAATGGAGATAACATCCCGGCATAATGTAGTATGCTGTTGCCGGAATTATCTCTCAAAGTCGTAATGAGATTTCTTTGACCAACCCCGTATATAAGGCTATAAACATTTTCTTGACGGCATTCAACAGCATAATGAAATATGTTCTTTCCGTCCTCTAGGCCTCTGAACAATAATTCTGGTCTGGCTTTACATAGAGGAATAACGACCTCAACAATCCCATTTTGGACAGCACTGTATACTGCTTCATACACAAGGCCATCCCTCATTTCTTCATCATTCAACTGTTTTATGTCGTCACACATGCAGTCCAAAATTTGACGTGACCGAACATGGATCAATTTCACTTCACGAATGCCGTTGATTCCTACGTTGACATTCAAACCAATGTTACAACTCACAACCACATTTTTACCAATAAATAAATAAATAAACTGATAGTTTTGACAAATGAAAAATAGGAGCTGATTTTTCGTACACAATTTTTAATTTATAACAATCAAATTTGATAAATCAACAACACGATCCAATAAAATAAAATTTTAATTTATAGCAATCAAATTTGATAAATCAACAGACATGATCCAATAAAATAAATTAAGGTGTGTGAGAAATTAATTGTGAATATCATTTTCCATAAAAAATAAATAAATTAATGTCCACATACCAAAAAACTCTGAAAGTCTCGATGGAAGTCCTTGTAATAAACCGAAGGCTGCGACACAAATTTAAAATCAGATTTTGCTGCCAAAACTTCTTTATATGCTGATTAGATGATATATGGCATAAGGCTAGCCTCTTTGCACGCATACGTGCATGCTAGAGACCTTTTTTAAATCATGGGCTCTACGCATCCCAAAAAATATATTGCGTTAGTTGCTTTTCATGCAAGAACAAAAAAATTGTTATGTTTTTTGTTTTCACTTCACGTGGAGTAATGATTTATATGTTATTCATGCAACTGTCAAAACAACAGTCAGTTTTCGCCGCTAGTAAATCCAAAAAAAAGAATGGTTCATACATAGTTGAGAGCTTGCTGAGGAGGGCCAGTGCAATAATGAAAATCAAGCTCCCTTCCCACCTTAGAACCTAATTTAACTATTGACCCAAAAAAAAAGAGTGTGAGCCTATTTTAGCCGATAGTAAGTTAAAAAAAGAAAGGGTCAAACATGTCACCTAATACTACAGTATATTGGTATTTTTCTTTATTTGTAAGTGAGATGTCCTAAGTTTGATTCTCGTCAAATGCGAATTTAGAACACATTATTGTTAGCTCATTGTGAGGTTAAGCTCATCCCCTCTCCTTTAGTGTAGATTATATTGTTTGTTAAAAAAAAAAAAGTCAAACATAATTGAAACGGGTCAAACATAATTGAGAGCTTGTTTAGGAGGGCTAGTGCAATAGTGAAAATCAAAACCAGAACTCCTCTAGACCCAATAAAACTAAGTCTACTGAGCAAAGGATCCGGACCGTTGAAATTTGATCTAACGGCTATAAACAAGAGGCTTTTTTAAAAGTTATAATAATTGTAGCCGTTGAATTTCGACGATCCAAATTTTTTACTCAGTAGGCTCGGTTTACAAGGGTCAGAAGGGATCCGGTTCCGTGAAAATCAAGCCCCCTTCCCATCTTAGAAACCTATTTAACAATTGACCCGAAATAAGAGAAACTGCCAGCCTCCCTGCACTGAGTGAAATGCATTTTTTTTTTCATCATAACGGGAATTATATATTCTAAATGCATTTATGTACGTTTATTTTTTCATTTGTTTTTTATTTCATTATTTTCTTTCGTTATGAGATAAATTATAACAAAAAGTATGTGATCATCTTGTCGCATCAATTACTAAAAATTCAAAAGTTACATTGATTTGTATATGGACTATGTAATTACATTCTTTATTCAATCGATGCATTTTTTTTTTTTAACAAACGATATTATCTACATTAAATGAGTGGAGAATGGGCTAAACCTCACAATGGTTAGTAATAATGTGATTCGAATTCGTTTTTAATACCCATTAGTCTAGAATTAGCTGTTATTGGATTTAGTCTAGTTTTTTATTTTTCAATTAATTGAATTTTTTAATTTATGCATCTTTACTCAATATTTCAATTTGAATATTTACATATTAAAATCTAATTTTATTCAATAAAAATAGTAAAAGAAAATTTATATGTCATCATATATGAGACCTGAATCAGAAGTTGATGAAATACATTTAAACCATGACGGAGGTATATACGAAAATAAATAAAACTTAATCTACCTATCATCCTTGAACATATTTCAAAAAAATTTCATATTCCATAAATTTATAAATATATATATATATGCTGATATATATATATATATGTTTAACAATAAGAATTCATTAGCCACTTAATACTATGATCTAGTGGTATTCCCCTTCACTTGTAAGTTAGAGGTCCTATGTTCGATTCTCGCCAAAAGCGAATTTGAACCACATTATTGCTAGTCTATTGTGAGGTTTAGTCCACTTCCCTACCCTTTTAATGTAGATAATATCGTTTATTAAAAACAAAAGAATTCATCAGACATTCTGTTTACACAACCATTCCTTTAAACATGTGACCAAACATAACATTTCTTCTTCCTCCCTTCTTGCCAACGCGATAGATCTCAGCCCCCAGTCCCTTTCTCCTCCGTCAAGCACACACACTCCTTCGTCCAACGTTTCCATCGATTATAGCCCAAATTGAATCTGACCTTATCACCACCTGCCTATCTATGCAGCAAATCTCAGTGCCCTAGTATTTTCTAGACTTATCTTCTGTGACTCAGTATCCAAATTTAATTGAAGATCATGTTTAATCCAGGGTCAGGTGCTGGTTTGGTCGGATTTGCAGAGGAAGGCGTCAGATTTGCAAAGGAAGGCAACGAGGGAAAAGATAGGTTGGAGGGGACAAGGGTGGTTTGACAGAGGAGGGAGGTTGGAGGAGGAGGAGTTGGGATGGGATTCGATCAAGGGCTTCGAGTTTGCAGATTTGCCATGGCATGGGTAAAGGTAGGAGAAGGTGGGTGTTCGTTTTTTTTTTTTTTTTTTTTGGGAAACTAAGGTGGGTGTTTGTTTGTTAACATAACAAAGAGTTTGAGATAGAATTAAATAGTCAGGTGTTACAATCTTATTGGACCACATAATATGGTGAGTAAATTGGGTACTAACCAGTAAGCACCTAAGTATTGTGAATAGTGCAGAAGCAACTCCAGTTTTGTGAATTGTGTCATTTTACAGTTTTGACTTTATTTTAATTGGGTAATTGTAGTTTTTTTCTATCAAGTAATTGCATTTTAGGAATATTCGAATGTGCCACCATTTTGGCGTGCTTTCTCCATATATAAAGATTCTTTTCTTGATTTTCACGTTTGAAATCAGATAGGCTGTGTTGGTTGGAAAAGGATTCTCGTTGGAGGGATTTTGTGATCGGGATCGTCCATCGTACATCGTGTAATCAGTTTTTGTTAGGTATTATTTATATTTAATTTTAAATTTTAAAATTTAAAATGATTTCTGAGCGCACGATGTACGATAGACGGTCCCGATCACATGATCCTTAAGATTCCAAGAAAAAGATACCGGATCGTTTCTAATTATGTTCGGGTAGGCCGACCGCACGTCATTGTCGATTCCATATTTCTATCAAACCACACATATCGCCTAACTAATTATTAAAGGGGTGTGTTATCCACACATCATATTTTACTTCTCACACACCTCTTGATAATTTATGTTCATTGATCTTCTTCAATTCATTCGATTCGACGATCGAAAATTAAAAAGGTGTGTGAGAAGTAAAATGGGGTGTATGGATATCACACCCCTTACTAAAAACAAGGAGATGGATAATTGAAAAAAGTCGACAAAAAAAAAAAAGAGCAAAACATATGAAAAAGTCTTCAACATATCAAATCGAAGTTAGAATTTTGAGATGTAACATACCTGTGCTATTCTCTTGATTGCCTTGTTCATTTTCTTGACTTCCAACATTTATATAAAAACCACTGATACGACCTGCATCTTCTATGTGTATACCTACCAAAAAATACGACTTCCTCATTCAAAATACTTCTTTGTAGATAGTGTCTTGGACATAAAGACCAATTATGGTAGTACCCATTTGTAATAACATTTAAGAAAAATATTAGGGAGACCACCTTATTTGAACCACCTTATGAAACTGTTTATGTGAAAGGTGACATTTGTACATGACACACATAATGTTGCCAAATTTGATGGTAGTAAGAGAAAAGAGAAGATATTACTAACATTTATAGATCAACGATTGCCAGAATTTGAGCGATGTTCCACTCAGAAATGCAGAGGGCACACTAGCAATTGCAGACAAAGGGGAGTATTTTCCTTGGCCTTGAGTATATGCTAACATTGGGATACACTGAAGCAACATCCATGCAAAATCTGTACGTATGTATTTTGACCAATTATCATATATAGGTATATATAAGGTAATTCTCATTCTACTACCTTGAAGTGTCGTGGTTTTTAAATTTTCATATATTAAGTTTTTTTCATCCCAGTGTCATACCTAAAATGAGGATTGTGGAACACTTTCATTCTTCTGTTAGGCTTTTCATCAGAATCTAAGTTAACACGTGACGTGGCGCCCGGTGGACTAATTGTGCTCCACATGTAAATATGGCATCACATCATGTAGCGCTTAGTCATTGTCCACGTAACTTAGGTTCTGACAAAAAGTCTAATAGAAGTATGAAAGTGTCCTACAATCCTCACTTTAGGTATGACACTAAGATGAAGAAAACTTGATGTGTGAAAGTTTGAAAACCACGACGATACTTCATGGTAGTAAAATGAGAATTACTCATATATAGGAAATTCACACACCTATTCTTTTACCTCTCAAACATCTTTGTTAATTTTGGGCTATTAATTTTTCAATTCATTCGACCTAATGGTCGAAAATTAAGAGGATTGTGTGAGAAATTAAAATGGGTGAGTTGATAGCACTACCCTATATGACATACACACACACAGTGCAGAAAAATTGATTCGGTTAAGAGTAGTTAAGTTACCAAATTGTTTGGCAAAAAGACAAAAGACAAGAAGTTGAGAGCCGTAAGGGCCTTCATGTGGCAGTAGATCTAGGGGTGGAGTAAGATCGAAGAGGTACCGAACTATATCCCATCGGTCATGCATAGCAGCGATTAGAATCGGAGTCATTTGGCTGCCCTCTCCGGCAATGCCAATCAGGTTCTGGTTCTGCGTAACAATGCATTTTACCATATTGAGGTTGTCTCTAGCAGCATAAGCGAGAGCCGTCCAACCATCACTAGATTGTATCTCCAATTCTTCCTCCTTCATGAACTTCACCAGCTCTTCCACAATTTGCTCCTGCTTGAATATTACTGCGTTGTGAAGAGCTGTCCCCAATGAATCCTTTCGTCCTGTTGCATCGGCGTGTTGGTCAAGAAACAACTTCGTTTCATGCCAATCACCCCTCCTTACAGCAGCGAAGAAACCTTGATATTCCCGCCGCTGGATCTCATCTGTAAGGGTACAGTAATTAAAATGGCATTTTATACAATATATTAACTACTTTCTTCTTCAATTCTCGTGGAGTAACTTAAAATAACTTAATTCTTAAGTACATACCATGTTATGACTTTAATCTAGTTTCTATTTATACACAACAATCTCTTCACACCCAACTTTTATCACTCATACCCAACACACCCAACAATCTCTAATCTTTGGATTTGATAACAAGGGTTTGAGATTAATACCTTTACGTGAAACAGGAATTATAGGGAAAAAAAATTTAAATTTAAAATTTAAATAGAAAGATAAAAGAAAATAATGCACAAGATAGTGATTAACAAGTCGAGTCTCGTTCTCTTGGTCAACTAATCATCAAAAGTTGATGGTCGCTACCTCTTGAATTTGATATCTTGAGATAAAACCTTGAAAACACGTCCATTTATTCATCAGGGTTCCATCCTTGATAATTGATTAAGAATGAGTGATCATGCATTCCTTACATACGAGGAAACCAAAAGAACCTTTCATATACATTTAATACTTTGATTTTGATGATAGATACCTCGGTCTTGTATGTTCAGTCTGCCAATTTATCCAAAGGAGATTTTATTATCGGTATCATGATCATGTGTTTATATATGAAAACAAAGAAAGAAATAGTGAAGCAAGTACAAGAAATTAACAACTCACAACTTGCGTTTTTCTCGGTTGAACAGTGCTTCCAAAGTATCCCACGCAGCTTTGGCGGTGGTTTTGTCACGGATAGAAGGAAAAGTACGCGGCCCGCAAGAAAGTTGGATTGCATGCAAAGCTCCGGCATTATTCTTCCTCCAAGCCTTAAACTTAAAGTCTCCAACGCCTTCCTGTTCAGGGTGTTCACTTTCAACAACGTCCCAAAGATCTTTACTGAGCAGATAGGTTTTGACGCGGACACTCCAATCCTTATAATCGTGTTCTCCGTTGAGGATTTGAGGAACAATTGTAGTCCTAGACGCAGCTGCCATGCTTCTAAATCTGTCAATTTTTCCAAACCAGATTTTATTAGTTAGATCACGATCATATGTGTGTGTGAAAAAAAAGAAAAAAAGAAATAGTGAACCAAGTATAAGGAATTAACTACTTACAATTGAAATAGGGAAGCCTTCAGAAAATGGTTCAGCTTGAATTGGTGATCTATAGTATTGATGCTGCTACATATATAGATATACTATATAGTCAACGGTATAAGATATCATATTATGCTGATAAACTGATAATTTTCTCTCCTTTTTAATACGAATTTGTCCTTTATTTTAAAGAATTGTTATTGGCACTCTAAAAGTCTCATTTTGCAATCTAAACTTTCTCTGATTAGAAAAAAAATATTGTGAGGAGATGATACTTTAAAGTGCTAATAACAGTTCCCATGTACGCTTATGGATCAACATGGTAACAAATTAATCAGTTGTCCCCGTTTTACAATGTCAAATCTCGTTGTTACAATCTTACTTTAGAAATACTTGACAATATTAATCAAAGTAGTAAAAAATAAGTAAATAAACCTTGTCTTTTGAAAAGAAAAATATGTTATTACCATTTTTTTAGGGTAAACTGCTATTCGACCCCTTGAAGTATTACTCCAATTAAAATTGACCTCCTAAATTATTTTTTTGGTGATTAACCCCCTGAGCTATTTGAAATTAGTCAATTAACCCCCTGACGGTAGATTACATTCACTATTTCGTCAAATTCAAGGGCAAATTAATCTTTCCATCATCAATTCTTATTTGTCAACTATAACCACCAATAAATTTATGACATATGGACACAAAATAATGTGTAATGACAATGTGAAATTGTCCTTTATGTAAATGTTTCGGGCTTTTTATGTTTTCTGATTATGCTATATGTTTTACACATTATTTTGTGTTCATGTGTCATAATTTTATTGGTAGTTATAATTGATAAGTAAGAATTGATAATGAAATGACAAATTTGCCCTTGATTTTGACGTGGTGGACGGAACCTAACGGCAAGGGGTTAATTGGCTAATTTTAAATAGTTCAGGGGGTTAATTCAAAAAAATAATCCAGGAGGTCATTTCAACTAGGATAATAGTTCAGGGGTTTAAACTGCATTTTACCCTTTTTTTTAATAATAGCAAGTTGACATGTTATAATAGTTACTCATTTTTATTAATTGAGTAATGTTACACTTACTATATTTCTCATACCACATTAATCTAAGGATCAAAGGAGCAATATCAAGTAAGCCTAGATGGGAATTAGAAGCCATACTTTGTGTACAAATTAATTGAAGGATCAAAGCAACAATATCAAGTAAGCCTAGTTGGGACCTGGGAATTTAGAAGCCATACTTTGCCTACAAATTAATATAAGGATCAAATGAGCAATATCAAGTAAGCCTAGCTGGGAGTTAGAAGCCATACTTGGCTTACAAATTAATTTAAGAATCAAAGCAACAACATCAAGTAAGCTTAGCTGGGACATGGGAATTTAGAAGTCATACTTTGCGTACAAATTACTTTAAGGATCAAAGCAACAATATCAAGTAAGCTTAGCTGGGACATGGGAATTTAGAAGTCATACTTTGCCTACAAATTAATCTAAGGATCAAAGGAGCAGTATCAAGTAAGCCTAGTTGGGGGTTAGAAGCCATACTTTGCGTACAAATTACTTTAAGGATCAAAGCAACAATATCAAGTAAGCTTAGCTGGGACATGGGAATTTAGAAGTCATACTTTGCGTACAAATTACTTTAAGGATCAAAGCAACAATATCAAGTAAGCTTAGCTGGGACATGGGAATTTAGAAGTCATACTTTGCCTACAAATTAATCTAAGGATCAAAGGAGCAGTATCAAGTAAGCCTAGCTGGGGGTTAGAAGCCATACTTTGCGTACAAATTACTTTAAGGATCAAAGCAACAGTATCAAGTAAGTTTAGCTAGGACCTGGGAATTTAGAAGTCATACTTTGCCTACAAATTAATCTAAGGATCAAAGGAGCAGTGTCAAGTAAGCCTAGCTGGGAGTTAGAAGTCATGCATTGCGTACAAATTAATTTAAGGATCAAAGCAGCAATATCAAGTAAGTCTACCCAAATGACAAAAATACACTCAATAATAAACAATGGGCCAAAATGATTTGAAAAAAAATGAGGGTATTTTTATCATTTAGCCTTATTTAATGGAGATTTTTCACTGAATGACCAAATGATTGACAGTGGGCAAACTCAGGACCACTTCTATTGATTTTAAATCTCATGGATCAAAGTTAGTTATGCTAATATGAGAGACTATTTTGGCTGTAAAAAAACATTTTTTTAATTTGCTCAAGTGACCCTACCCTTCCAAAAACATCGAAACAAGGGATTCATTTCCTCCGAGGATCCTGTGTTTTTTTTTTTTTTTTTTTTTTCGTGATGCTGGAGAGACTAAATTTTTAGATTATATTTTCTAGACCATATAATGTGGCGGTTGATAATTGGACTAATTTTCAAATCGTTAAAACAAGTGCCAAACCATCAACCATCACATATTTTTATCAACAAAAAAATTGTAAAAAACTTTGGTCTAGCTAACATTTTCTGTATTTTTTTGTCAAACACTTGCATATTTTTACATTTACTTTTACCCCACGCCAAAACGCAAAGTTTTGATCTGGTCCAAAAAGTAGTGTCTTGGTCTTGGACACAGCGCGCGGAATTCTATTGCCAGGAACGTCGTTACTGGAGGAGAATCAGGTACGAAACGCATTTGTTCTTTTCAATTTTCTTTCATACCAGTCGATTGGATTCTTCAGTTTTTACTTCGTTTGCTTTGTTTATCATCTACTGCTCTGCTCTTGTTGCTTTCTGTCAATTTGGGAGTTTAGGGTTTCTGTCAAATTTGGGGTTCTGGGTTTCTCTGTTTCTGTCCATTTGAGGCTTTTAGGTTTCTGAAAAAGTTCAAAAGTTTCATCTGCTGTCTGGTTGTGTTAGAACAAGTACACAATTTTGAAATTCTTGTGGAAGGGAACCGTAGAAAATTGGTTACCAAATTAATGTATTACTAATTACATTCACAAGTGGCTAATTAACTGGCTTTTCTTAAACAAGAAATCATTTGAAAGGGCAACAATTTAGCAATTACAAAGCTGAGCAGTCTGCTAATTGATTGTGTTATACTTGTGCCAGTGTGACAGAGTGCACTAGCTTTCTAAGATTCATACACCCGACTCCACTTAGTGAGATAAAGCTTGGTTATTGTTGTTGTTTATACATACATGAACATTTTACTTGCTGACAAAATCTCTGCGTCGACACATGATTAAGTGTAATAGGTTCCTTTCCAGTTTCCAGTTATATTATACCTTTTATTTGTTAGCAGAACACCAGAAAATGATTCCTGGTATGTTCTTCCACAAAAATGCTTCTCTAATAGGAAACCGGAATTGTTCTCTCTTTACTTTTCTTAATTAATTCTAGCTATGAAGAAGGCAAGAAAAACTAAGGAGGCTGCAAGATCATCTAAGAATATTAATGCTAATGAGAAAAATGTTCCGGTACATCCCCCTGCATCTACGCGAAAGCGAAAGGCTGCCTCCTCTAATGAATCAGAGGTGGTTGATGATTCCATAGAGGATAAACCATCTGTTGATGTTGTTGTAGACGACATCCAAGCTGTGGACGATACAAATGTTGGGACCATCATCTTAGTTATAGACGATACAAATGTTGGGGCAAGCGTCTCAGCTACAGACGATGTTGGGGTCGATGCCAAAGTGACACAGCCTTTTCCAGGAGGGTGCACAGATACATCGTTGCTGAAGAGTTGTATGAGTCACGTTGCTGCTGCAGTTTGGAATAATGAGGTATTGTTAGTTTGGGTACGTAAACATTTTTTAGCCACTTACCTGTTCAATGTTTTCAATCTAAATATCGTATATTGATTATTGTCAAAAGGAACGTGGTCCGCTAAGGTGCATGTCCAAGTGGAAAACACTGAAAGAATGGAAATGGCAGGACAAGCAAAATAATGACACTTATAGGAGGAACATTACAGAATCATGTTTGTTACCACTGCTGGAGTGTACTTATCGAATTTTTGATAAGATAGTGGTCTCTGCTTTTGTTGAGCGCGGGCAGCCGGAGACCTTTCACCCGCTGTTTGGTGAGATGACCGTTACTTTAGACGACGTTTCAAACCTCATAGGTATAAGAAGAGAAGAAAAGAAAAACTGTATGGTTTCATATATATCAAAGTCGTATCTTTATGTAGATTAAAATTTTATCGATTTCAAATTTTCTTTTTCGGGGTTCCTGTCACAGGCAAGGCGATATCTTTACAAGCAGATGAAGTCATGAGTAATCATGAACTATTGGTATAGTTATTAGGGTCTAGGATTATTGTCTGAATAAGATTTTATTGCCTAACTTCATTAGAACACAAATCAGGAAATTACCTTAAGGCATTGCTTTCGGAGCTCAATATCAGCATGAATCACATACGGGGACGAACCATTCTTCACCACAAACCTGTCAAACCAGCCGGCATTGAAACTGAAGGAAGAAACGTTTGTAGAATCAACCAAACCCGCCCGATTGATTCCCGATCATAATCATAACTCTCAGGTTCAGTGGCTAGCCTTTTCATGATTTTGCTACAGATCTTCCAACGATCATCAAGCTCAGCTGCTCAGTGCAGCTTCGAAGCTCCAAAAGCTCCAAATTGGAGCAACCCAATTTGAAATCCTCCATCGTCCACGCTATCAAATCCACCTCAGTGAGAATAAGGACCTCATCGACAAAAAACGCAGAGCGGAAAATTGGGCTGGCAGCGTAATTTCACACCGCATGAGTCCGAATTTCTCAACACACCCATTCCTCAGAACGGAGAACCGAAAATCTTAATACCTGACTGCCTCGTTAGGACGATCAAAGAAATCGAATTTGATTTCGCGAGCGCAAATGCGAGTTACGGCAAATTGAACCCAGGAATCGGTGGGCAGCATTACGGACTGTGGTGTGGGAAAGACTAAAGAGGGTCGAAAAGTGTGGACTGGAGAATCAGAGCGGGAGAGTAGAACGTGGTCGACGAACTCCTCTAAGAACTGGCGGCTGTTATCGAACGTGAACGAAATTCAGTTTACAAGGCGGGTTAGAGATTCTTATAGTTTTGACAGTGAAGGCTATTGGCCTAAATCTATAGCATTAGTACATTTCTGCACTGGACGGCAAGGGCAACATCACTTTTTCTTGCAGCTCAAGACTTGGACGCAGGAGCATTGCATATTGCTTCTTGCGGTGGCCGTACGTACGTCCCTTCTTTGGAATATATACCTCATGGCCAATTGATTCGATGTAAATTTATTGGTTCCTCCATGTAAACCCCACCTACATGGACATGGTGATTCGATCCAAGACATCCATTACATTTCCAGCTTCAATCACGTTCATAAATATATGATCCAAGACCATATCTTTCCCGCTCTAAGTTCTGTTGAGAGTATGAATTTCATATATGAGAAAGAAGGGACCTTAAATGTACTTGGGTTACTTTCCATGGTGCTAATTGGTTTTATGTTGGAATCTTAACTTCCTTCAAGTTTTCTAGTCAAATATCTTATGGAGAACAAATATATTAAAAAAAAATTGAACAATGGGTTTTTTATTAAAGGAACCAAACACTTACATAGTGTGTACAATACATACAAGCTTTCTCACAAGTGACAAACATTACATTACTAAGTTGCACATATAAATATATCGCATGCACCATCAAGAGTTTATATCCAACGTTTGACTTTTCTATCGAATATTCCTCCACCATAAGTGGACACAAAAATCTCAACGAGAAGGGGAAATTGCATCCAGATAAATAAAATGACAGGAACACTAGCAAGGAAAATGATTGGATAAGTAATCCATGGTTTGTCCTGAAGCATGATGAATAAGGCAGAAGAAAAGGCAACCATCATGGTGGCGATGGAGATGAAGAGTGTGGAAAGGCCTATTATCATCTTTGTGGGTAAGGATTCGAGGAAATCATCTTCAGCATAACGCGATGTAAGGATGCCCAAAAACATCAATGCTGACGTTGCAGAAGAAAAGAGCGAAATTGCATCTGAAACTATAAAAACCATAAATAGCCTTCCGTCTAAGAATATGGGAAACCCTGTTTCTTGGTCGTTTCCACCAGGAACTGTAAATGCAGCAGCAAACATGATTGTAATAATCAGGGTACTAACAACTGTATAAGAACTTGTTGTTCCTTTCATCCACTTTTCTCCTTTCGCATGCAATTCCTTGTGGGTCTCCGTAAATAATTTAGGGGCTGTGAAACCATCACCGTTTAAAGGTGAGGTTCCCAAGACTGGAATCACAATACTCTCTACCTCCTGCATTTCATTCAACAAAAACTTATACATCGCAGTGATATGAGGTGATCATGTTCTTTCAGTAATTAGAAAAGGAAAAAAATGCTTCATTTGATACATGAATATGTGCATCGTACTGAAATTTGGCCATTGGAAGTATCTGTTTTGTAACTATTCATTTATATTAGGTTTTATTTATATATATTTTTTGGCTTTTCAAGTTTACGATAGTTCCCCATGTCATGTTATAAGTTCAACTACCCGACACAGTGTGAGCTTAAGCATATAATGAGGTAGAATTTATATTATTCTTGGATGGCATTGGCATGGGACCAAGTGAGAAAGAAGTTAAATTTCAGGGTATTATTTGAATTTCATCGTGTCAGTATTCGGATTGAATTTCAGGAGTCGTAGATGTAATTAAGCCTACAAGAACAATATAAAATAATTCTAACCTTGTACCATTGCCTTTCTCTCTGCATTTGCAAGGCTGCACCTGGAATACGATCAAGCTTTGCCACTGCCAATGGAGATAACATCCCCGCAAAATGTAGCAAGCTGTTGTTGTGATTTGCCATCCAAGTCGTAAGCATAGTTCTTTTACCAACCCCGTATATAAGGCCATAAACTTTTTCTTGACGGCATTCAACAGCATAATGAAATATGTTCTTTCCGGACTTGGTACTGAACAATAAATCTGGTTCGGCTTTACATAGAGGAATAACGAGCTCAGCAATCCCATTTTCAACAGCTTGGAGTATTGTTTCATGTAGACCACATTCCGCCATTTCTTCATCACTTAAATGTTTTATCTCGTCAAACATGCAGTCCATAATTTGACGTGACCGAACATGGATCAATTTTAGTTCACGAATGCGGTTGATTCCTAAGTTCACATTCAAAATAATGTTACAAATAAACAAATTGATAGTTTAATCAAATTGAAAATGGGAGCTGATTTTCATATACAATTTTTTAGTTTTTCACATACTCTCTTAAATTATGATCATCGAATTTGATAAATCAAACAAAATCAATAGACATAATTCAAAAGGTATGTGAAAAGTTAATTGTGTTTATAAAAAAATAAATTAATTAATGTCCACGTACCCAAAAACTCTAAAAGCCTCGATGGAAGTCCTTGTAATATACCCAAGACTGCGACACAAATTTAAAATTTCTTTATATGCTAATTAGTTTATATATCATCCAATTTTTTTTATTTTTTTATTTTTTAAACAGACGATGCCACCTTTAGTGTAGATAATATCGTTTGTTTAAAAAAAATGATATATGGCATAAGCAAAGAAAAATAAAATGCAATTCTTATGGCGAGCAAAGCATATAAAAAGAGCAGAACATATAAAAAGGACTTCGACATATCAAATCATAGAGTTTTGAGATGTAACATACCTGTGCTATTCCTTTGATTACCTTGTTCATTTTCTTGATTTTGAACATTTATACGAAAATCACTAACGTGACGATCAAGATCAATGTGTATACCTACCAAGAAATAGGACTTCCTCATTCATAATACTCCTTGTAGATAATGTCTTTGAAATAAGAACAATTTTCTTTTGTCGAGTGATATAACAGATTTGAAAATTATTAGGGAAACCATGTTATTTGAATCACCTTATGAAATCTTTTATGTGGAAGGTGACATTTGTACATGCCACCTATATAATTTTGACAAATCTAATTATGGTGGTAAGAGAAAAGGAAAGATATTACTAACAATTATAGATCCACCATTGCCAAAATTTGAGCGATGTCCCACTCGGGAATGCAGAGGGCACCCCAGCAAATGTCAATATAGGGGATCTTTCGGAGTTTGGAGTACATGCCAAGCGTGGGCAACGCTGAAGTAACTCCCATCTAAAATCTATACGTATGTATTTAGAGCAGTTAATAAGAAAGAAAAATAATGGATGATAACCTAATTTATCCATATATATAATCAAGAAAATTTGATTCGGTTAAGAGTAGTTTCGTTACCAAATTGTTTGGCATAAAGACAAAAGCTAAGAAGTTTAGAGCCGTAAGGGCCTTTATCTGGCATTAGATCTTCGAATGGAGTGAGAGAGTAGAGGTACCGAACTATATCCCATCGGCCATACTGAGCAGCGAAGAGAATCGGAGTCAGTTGGAGGGACTTTACGGCAATACCGAGTAGTTTCTTATTCTTCGTAACCATGCATTTAACCATCTTGAGGTTGTCTCTAGCGGCTTGACAAAGAGCCGTCCAACCTTCGCCACTATAACTCTTTCTTGTCTCCAATTCTTCCTCCGTCATCAACTGCACCAGCTCTTCCACAATTTGCTCGTGCCCGAATACTACTGCGTTGTGAAGAGGTGTCCCCCATGACCATGGCAACACTGCTGTTTTTGCAGTGGGGTGTAGGGTAAGAAACTCCAACGTTTTATGCAAATTGCCCCTCCTTACAGCAGTGAACAAAGCTCGATACTCATGCTCACTACTACAAAACTACCCATTACTGGCACAAATAAAAACGACAAGAAAAGGTTATTACTGAGGGATTTTAAGCAAAATCTGACAGAAAATGGTTGCAGTGGCGGATATAATAAGCGACAGAATTGACTGCGTCAAGAAATGAATTTTCCGACAGAAAATTATCTAAAACCGACAGTAATTGTGTCGGTTAAAACCGACATTAATTGTGTCGGATGTAACCGACAGTATATATATTTATAATAAATAAATATGAGAATTTTTGTCGGTTACAACCGACAGAATTTGTGTCGGCTATAACCAACAGGATATATATTTATAATAAATAATAAGATACTGTCTGTCGGTTAAAACCGACAGAACATATATTAATAATAAAAAAAAATAAAACAACCACTTTCTGCAGCATTCACTGCATTTTCCAGGTTTTCTATTTTCAATCGAGTCGGAGCAACCGCCTCAGGTCTCGAGTCGCTGAGTCGTCGTCGACGACCTTCAACACCTGCTTCTTCCTCGAAAACGACGGCAACGGGAGCGAGCTCGGCTCCGGCGACACCGCGAACGCTGATCCGGCATACATGTCGGTCTTCTGCACCATTTTCGGCCCGGGCCGGAGCCTCGCAGTCCTGGTCCCAGCCAAGCTCGTAGAACGGAGACTGATCTCTCAGGGAGGCCACGTTGGGGTCTCCATGGATGGCTTTCCATCATGTTCATCTGCTGAAATGCTCTCTGCTGTCGAAGTGTTTGATCGACAATCCGAAGCCTCGGAGTCTCCCCTCTCGTCGTGCCAGGCGCCACCGGGTCCTTCTCTCCCATGGCCTTTCTTGTGGCCTGAATCTGACTCACAATCCCATCTTTCAAGCTCCTGAAATGCCTCGACATGGCCTTTGCCGCCAAGGCGGAGTACACGGTGGCAACCAGAGATAGGTTTCAGAGAGTCTCAAATTTTAACCTTGATAACAATAAAAATCTAAAATTTTGAATTGGGTATTAATTGAAAAGATTAATCAAGCACAACCCGAGTAAAAAGTTTTTAACTTTGCCTTCTAATACTATTGAGGAATTATAAAAAATAAAAAATAAATAAAAGATGGGGTTTACTATTATTTACCTCTTCAAGCATTGAAAGCAGTCTGGTTTTTCGCTTCTGCAACTCCACAAATTCAAGGGAGCAAACAGTTTTTGAAGGAAAACAAACAAAAACCTACCTGAGCTAAAAGCATTTGTGGCATCAGAAATCTCTTCATAGGAGAAGCATTTCCAAGTGGGTCTTGGAGAAAGCTCTTTTGGATGTGGGTGTGGATGTTGAACTGGAAGTAAATGAGGAGAGAAGAGAATGACAAGGAAATGAGGAGAGGAGAAAAGGGGGAAGGAAGGGGGAAGGGAGAAGGCACAGGCGCAAGGAAGAGTTGGAGGGTTTTATGTTGGAAAATTAACATTACTGTCGGTTAAAACTGACAGAAATATTTTTTAAATATAGACCGACAGAAACTTTTCATTCCTGTCGGTTATAACCGACAATTTCCACCCAAAATTTAAAATTCCCTCCCAAAATTTTGTTACGATTTTAAATTCCCCCCAAAATTTTGTTACGATTTTAAAAAATAAAATAATAATTGTTTGGTTTAATAAATAAATAAATAATATGTATTTAAATATAATAAGTTTTTAAAAATTAAATAAAATTTTTTTTTTGTTGAAAATAAATAATTGTTTGGTTTAATAGATAATAATCCATGTAAAATATGCAATAAAGAAACAAAAATATAATTGTACAATGAAAATGTCATCACACAAACTAAATATTGTCTAATCAATACTTGAAAAATATAAATAAAAATTTAGCACAAATTACTTTTCACACTTCAAAATTTAGGCAAAATAAATAAATTTTCACACTTAAATTTTCACACCTCGACCCTATAAGAATGTAATAAATAAATTTGATCTTTAATTTAAAATATTTACACTAGTGGATACCACAAAATCTTATTTTATACTTAATAGAAGTATAATATTAACTCTAAGTGTTTGTTTAATCTACCGTTTTGACACAATATGCATTCTACCAAACTTTTTTCAACGATCCAACCGTCAAACTTATTTGTACACACTTCGAGATTACATACGTAAAAAATTGTAAAAAATAAACATTCAGAGATTACGTAACGAAACAAAAGTTTTCGACGGTTATAAACGAAAAATCACAATTTAACGGTTATTTTAGCTCCGATTTTGATGATTTTTTACAGCTACACTTTTCGACCCTATAAGAATGTAATGAATAAATTTGATCTTTAATTTAAAATATTTACACTAGTGGATACCACAAAATCTTGTTTTATTTTTAATGGAAGTATAATATTAACTCTAAGTGTTTGTTTAATCTACTGTTTTGATGTGATACGCATTCTAAGAAGCTTTTTTCAACGATCCAACCGTCAAACTTATTTGTACACACTCCGAGATTTTATACGTAAAAAATCGTAAAAAACAAACATTCAGAGATTAGGTAACGGAACAAAAGTTTTCGATGGTTATAAAAGAAAATTCACAATTTAACGATTATTTTAGCTCCGATTTTGATGATTTTTTACATCTACACTCATCGACCCTATAAGAATGTAATGAATAAATTTGATCTTTAATTTAAAATATTTACACTAGTGGATAACACAAAATCTTATTTTATACTTAATAGAAGTATACTATTAACTCTTAAGGGTTTGTTTAATCTACCGTTTTGACGCAATATGCATTCTACAAAACTTTTTTCAACGATCTAACCGTCAAACTTATTTGTACACACTCCGAGATTGCATACGTAAAAAATCGTAAAAAACAAACATTCAGAGATTAGGTAACGGAACAAAAGTTTTCGACGGTTATAAAAGAAAAATCACAATTTAACGGTTATTTTAGCTCCGATTTTGATGATTGTTTTACAGCTACACTCATCGACCCTATAAGAATGTAATGAATAAATTTGATCTTCAATTTAAAATATTTACACTAGTGGATACCACAAAATCTTATTTTATACTTAATAGAAGTATAATATTAACTAGTGTTTGTTTAATCTACAATTTTGATGCAACATGCATTCTATGCAACTTTTTTCAACGATCCAACCATTAAACTTATTTTTACACACTCCGAGATTGCATACGTAAAAAATTGTAAAAAACAAACATTCAGAGATTAGGTAACGAAACAAAAAAATTTCAATGATTATAAACAAAAAATCACAATTTAACGGTTATTTTAGCTTCGATTTTGATGATTTTTTACAGCTACATTCCTCGACCCTATAAGAATGCATTGAACAAATTCAATCTTCAATTTAAAATATTTACACTAGTGGATAATTTTTTATACTGAATGGAAGTATAACATTAACTCTTAAGTGTTTGATAGGATATGCATTTTACGAAATTAGTTTCAACGATTCAATCGTCAAATATGTTTGTATGTACTTCGAGATAGCATGTGTAAAAAATCGCAAAAAAAAAAAACATTCAGAGATTAGGTAATGGGATTGTGAGTGAAAAAAAAATATTTACACCATTTGTTTATTTATTTTTAATCAATGTAACATTTTAAAATAATAAAATAATCAATTTCTATCGGTTATGGCGGTTAAATCCATCAGGAAAAATCCGCCAGGAATTTATGTCGGATATATCCGACAGAAAGTAACTTTAATCCGACAGTAAATAAATCATGTGTCGGAAATATTTTATCCGTCAGAATGACTTATTAACCGTCAGGATCGTCCGACACCTAAAGCTAATATTGTAGTAGTGGCTCCGGGATCTCACCTGTCAAGGGTACGTATGTAATTAACTATGGCATTTTATACAACATAATTTATACTTATTAGTCAAAATAGTCTATGAGATTGACATAACTCATAACTTTAGTTCTTGAGATCTAAAATCGATAAAACTAGTTCATGAGTTTGTCCACCCTCAATCATTTTCTAGTTTCTATTTATACACGACAATCTTTTCACACCCAACTTTTATCATTCGACACTCAACACACCCAACAATTTCTAATCCTTGAATCTGATATCAAGGTTTTGAGATTAAAAGTTTATTGAGAAACCGGGATTATGGGGAAAAAATTAAAAATTTAAATAGGAATATAAAAGAAAATAAGCAAAGATAGTGATAACAGATCGAGTCTCGTTCTCTTGGTCATTTGATGATCAAAAGTTCATGATCACTAACCCTTGAATTTGATACCGAAGTATGAGATTAAAAGCACTTCCATTTATTCTTGACAGTTCCACCCTTGGTATTAATTCAAGAGTGAGTGACCATACATTCCTTACACACAAGAAAGAGAACCTTTCATATACATTTAAACTTTAATTTTGATGATAGATACCTGAGTTTTCTGATCTGCTCAATTCTACTGCCATGCTCAATCTGTCAATTTATCCAATGGAGATTTTAGTATAGCTAGGTAGATCATGATCATGTGTTCATATATGAAAACAAAGAAAGAAATAGTGAACCAAAGTATATATGGAATCTTAACTTTCGACACTTGGAAGTTTAGAAGCTATAGTTTGCCTACAAATTAATTTAAGGATCAGAGTAACAGTATCAAATAAGCCTACCTGAGACCTAGGAATTAGAAGACACTTTGCCTACAAATTAATTTAAGGATCAAAGCAAAAGTACCAAGGAAGCCTAGCTACGGCGCCTATGCTAATAAAAATTGGCAGTGTGCCCTACTATGTAGAAGTTTTCACCAACTAAATTGCAAAACATTCTTTGTCCAGCACACTAGATTGGCAAATGGATTCCCAAGGTTGCACTAAGGAATTGCTCTCAAGTTCTTAATGATGGTTTGTGTATTTGGACTGATTGATCGATCTTATGGCTAGTTTTGGGTTGTTATGTTTTAAAAAAAAATTTCTTCCGTTGTACTTTAAAAATAACCGAATGTAAAATAAAACAAATGAACGTTTGATAAATTGTATTTTTACAAGTGTCACGAGTATGAAAAAATAATGTAATCGTTTGGTAAATTTTAATTGTAAAAGTGACATAATTGTATATAATGATAAAAATGGATATGGCAATGCGGGTGGTGGTGACGATTGTGGTGGTGGTGGCAGTGGGGATGATGGTAGTAACAATGGTAAGGTTATGTTGGTAGTGCTAGTAGTGGTGTGTGGTGGTTGGGAGTGTAGAGGTAACAATGGTGGTGGCGACGGCGGTAGTGGTTGTGGTTAGGGTTGTTGCGGGAGTTATGGGTGTGCTGGTGACTATGGTGGTGGTGGTGGTGGAAGCGATTGAGGTAGGAATGGCAATGGTGGTGTAAGGTTAGTGTTTGTAGTTAAGATTGTGGCGGTCATTTTGTTTTACAAGGGATAAAATGCGTGTAAAATGATAAATAATGTCAATTTATATAACTAATGAGGGTATTACAGGAATTGAAAATACTCATTAAAGGCTGAAAGCAGCTTTCAAAAGCTGATGTCAATAAGTCATAGCTTTTAAAATAAGTAAGATATTTTAGTTTTACTAACCACTTTTTTGTTGGTTAACTTTAAATGAATTAGTTTTTGGTAGAAAAAAACAATACCAAACGGGACCTTAAAGGTCTGCTTAGTGCACCAAAGTTTACCATGTTGACTTTCTTTGTAGATGAGTGCAGCATAACCTTGACTAACATTCATGAAATTATGGCTTTTTAACACTACTAAATCCTTAAATTATGGCTCTCCTTTCTCTCCTTCCTATCACTCTCCTCCCTCATCTAGCCTTCCCCGTTGGCTCCTTTCCTGCCGTTCACTCTGCTCGTGCTTAGATCTAGTGCATCAGAGCTCTTTCCTACTTTTAAACTGGTGGTTGAGTGGTGTGTGGATTTCGATCTGTCGTGCCTTTAGGGGTTTGCGTGGGGCCTTTGCCATCTTGTGCTTCCTCTGGAAGTTTGGGTGTCTCAGTCATGCCGATTAACGACCAAGAAATCGAGTATATGTCAGTGTGCTTCCAGGAAAGCCTCAAACTGAAGGAACGTTTTGGTCTTTAAGATTAATATAACTTCTCATTTTGGTACTTGAGATTTTAAATTGTTAGAAATGATTCCTGAATTTGTCCACTATCAATTATTTTGGTATTTCTATGAAAAAATTATATTAAAGAATAATCAAAATGACAAAAAAATAAAACCTCAATTTAATAAATAATTGATTGAAATGATTTGACAAAAAATAAAGGTATTTTTGTCATTGTTTCTTAAGGAGATTTTTCACGGAATGATTAAAATAATTGACAATTGATAAACTCAAGATCTTTTGTATTATTTTCAAATTTCAAGAAGTAAATGCAGAATTATACTAATTTCAGAAACCATTTTAGCTAAAAAAATATTTTTATAATTTGCACAAGTGGCACTACCCTCCCAAAAATATCGAAACAATAGATTCATTTCCTCCCAGGATCTTGTGTTTTTTTTTTTTTTTTTATGATGTTGGAGACACTAAATTTTTAGATTATGTTTTGTAAATCAAGTAGCATTTTGGTAAGCATTTTGTAAATCACCACATCTTTCGATATACAAAAAATTGTCTCAAAATTTGGTAGCATTTTCTGTATTTTTATCGTCACGCTTAATTTTACGTTTACTTTTACTTCCAAAAAATTGTCTTGGTCCTCACCTAGTAGTAGAACACAGCGCGCGGAAGTCTTTTGCCAGGAACGTCGTTACCGGAGAAGAATCAGGTACGAAACCCATTTGTTCCATTCAATTTCTTTCATACAAGTCGATTGGATTCTTCAATTTTTACTTCGTTTGCTTTGTTCATCATCTTCTGCTCTGCACTTGTTGGTTCCTGTCAATTTGGAGGTTTAGGGTTTCTGTCAAATTTGGGGTTCTGGGTTTCTCCGTTTCTGTCCATTTAGGGCTTTTAGGTTTCTGAAAAAGTTCACAGTTTTGAATTATGGAACCGTAGAAAATTGGTTACCAAATTAATGTATTACTAATTAAACTCACAAGTGGCTAATTAAATTACTTTTCTTAAACGAGAAATCATTTGAAAGGGCAGCGATTTAGCAATTACAAAGCAGAGCAGTCTGCTAATTGATTGTGTTATGCATGTACCTGTGTGACAGAGCGCATTGGCGTTGTAAGATTCATACGGCTGACCCAACTTAGTGGGATAAGGCTCGGTGGTTGTTGTTGTTGTTTATACATACATGAACGTTTCACTTTCTGACGAAATTTCTACGTCGACGCATGATTAAGTGTAATAGGTTCCTTTCAAGTTTCCAGTTATATTATACCTTTTATTTGTTATCAGAACACCAGAAAATGATTCCTTGTATTTTCTCTTTACTTTTCTTAATTAATTCTAGCTATGAAGAAGGCAAGAAAAACTAAGGAGGCTGCAAGATCATCTAAGAAAAGTAATGCTAATGAAAAAAATGTTCCCGTACATCCCCCTGCATCTGTGCTAAAGCGAAAGGCTGCCTCCTCTAATGAATCAGAGGTGGTTGATGATTCTGTAGAGGATAAACCATCTGTGGATGGTGTTGTAGACAACATCCAAGCTACGGACAATACAAATGTTGGGGCTATAGTCTTAGTTACAGACGATACAAATGTTGGGGCCAACGTCTCAGCTACAGACGATATAGATGTTGGGGTTGATGCCGAAGCGACAGAGCCTTTTCCAGGAGGGCCAACAGATACATCATTGCTAAAGAGTTTTAAGAGTCATGTTGCTGCGGCAGTTTGGAATAATGAGGTATTGTTTGGGTAAATAATAGCAGTTTTAGCCACTTACCTGTTCCATGTTTTCAATCTAAATATCATATTTGATTTTTGTCAAAAGGAACGTGGTCCGCTAAGGTGCATGTCCAAGTGGAATACACTGAAAGAATGGAAATGGCAGGACAAGCAAAATAATAACACTTTTAGGAAGTACATTACAGAGTCATGTTTGTTACCACTGCTGGAGTGTACTTATCGAATTGTTGATAAGATAGTGGTCTCTGCTTTTGTTGAGCGCTGGCAGCCGGAGACTAATACCTTTCACCTACCGTTTGGTGAGATGACCATTACTTTAGACGACGTTTCAAACCTCATAGGTATAAGAAAAGAAGGAAAAAAACTTTATGATTGCATAATATCAAAATTGTATCTTTACGCAGATTAAAATTTTACTAATTTCAATTTCCTTTTTAGGGGTTCCTATCACGGGCAAGGCGATCTCTTTACAAGCAGATGATGTCATGAGTAATCATGAACTATTGGTAGAGTTATTAGGGGTTAATGACGAGGAGGCAACCGAGGCTTTGAGCGAGTTCAATGAAGAATATGTGACTCTTTCTTGGTTACGAAAACATTTTGAAGGTGTGAGTGATACAGACTCAATGGAAGCAAATAAGTGTGCAGCTAGGGCTTACTTGTTGTACTTGTTGGGATGTACTCTTTTTGTGGACAAAAGCGGGACTAGGGTACATGTTACTTATCTAAGACTACTTAGGGATCTTGATGCTGTAAGAGGTTATGCATGGGGTGCTAGTGCACTAGCTTGGTTATATCGTCAGTTAGGGCAATCAACTAGATCTAAGGTCAAGCAAATGAGTGGCTATATGACCTTGTTAGAGGCATGGGTGTACGAACACATGCATCTAATTTGTAGCCCTAATTATGACCAAAATTACTCTGATATTGACCCTCGTGCTTGTCGTTGGAAGCCACGAATGTCTAGTGGAACCACGACAGATGACTTGCAGAAGATGAGGAAAAAGTTAGATTCTTTGACAGCCAACCAGGTACGGACATATTAGGCGTTATTGATCAAATATAATTTGTAGTGATACCATTATGTCTAATGCATGTATATATATCTTTTTCAGGTCACCTGGGAACCCTACAAATCTCGTAGACAAGCACAACCGTTTCATGAGATAACATACTTTACTGGGATGTTAAAATGCTTCGACGTTGTTGAGCCTTACTGTCCTGAGAGGGTACTTAGGCAGTTTGGACGTGTCCAGACAATTCCAAAGGCACCGTGTGTCCTTCCTCGAAGCACAAGAGCAACTCATGCATCAGTTAACAAGTTATTATATGAATACATTGATGGGATGTGGGATGGGTGGCAGAATCATGTCTTGCATCAAAATAACCGAAGCAGCCCAGTTAGCATTGCATCAGATGTTGTCTCGGGGTACTTGGACTGGTACCACAAAGTATCTCATCCTTTTGTTCACAACCCAGCACATAGTACTTCCTCATTTGACCCACAATATACCTCGCACACGTCATACTATCAGGTAAATAGTAAATATTTTAATTTGAGTAGAAATTGTTGTCAAAATTGCATTCACTCGTATTTGGTTATTATTTGTTACAGGATCGTGTGCAACGTATCCTGAACATCACTAGGCGTATAGTGGACATGGGGAAGGAAGTTGCATTGAGAGATTTCCCTGATGATGTCTACAACGCAGTTGAGAGCATACAAAATCTTTTAGAGGGTAGAAGTTCGGATGGATGACTATGCGTAAGAACTCATCAGATTTGCTAAGTAAGCATCTAAAACTGTATTTGGAATCACACCCAGTTACTTATGGCACAAAAATACAATGCAACGAGAGTGATATTTTCATCGTAAAAATCTTTCTGCATGCACTTTACATTCCATATAGAAACCTGCACAAAATCAAACCAGAAAAAAAATATCAAACTTCGAAACAAAGAATGAGATTTCAAGGAAACAAAGTGTCCGGGAAATATTTTTTGCACTTACGGTTGAAATAATCTGAAAGCAGGGTTGATGCATCCGCTTATGAAGCAGTAGACTCAGAGGGAATGTCAGCACTTTGTACAATAAACCCAAGGAAAAAGAGAGCCTACAAGTTTAAGGGAGGTACTCCAAAGTAATCACGGATTGTTTTCCTTTTTAGGGAGGAGGGAGGGTTCAGAACAGAAGACGGGCTCTCCGATGCAGCTTCGGGGGTCTTCTCAAAGGTCTTGCTAAAGTCAGGATCCGACATAGATTGTTTCTTCTGTGACGGGGGAGTACTCATTCTGGGCGTACTAACCGGATTTAGTGAGTTGGTTTCGTCTAATCCTTCATCTGACGGACACAAACTTCCGGAAACCTTTGAGGTATGCATCGTTGATTCACTCATCAGAAGCTTTCTACACTCTGCGCTTGGGATTGCCATAACTCTTCTTCGAACGGTAGATGGTGAGCTTGTGCTTGTGGAGTAACTTTTCTGAGAGTTCCAAATGCGAACCTGTCGAGATGAAATATACAAGTGAAAACTTGAATCTAAAACGTTATAGAAAATGGCAAATGCATTGTGAAAATTGATAAATGTACAATCTTATATATGAACTGTGACTTTGTCTTGCATACCGTAAAATCATCTGACGACGTCGCCATCTTCCCGACCTCAAACTGGGACCTATTCGATGTCGGAAAAAGGTTCAGTCATTTGTCAAGAAATATCGAAAACCAGCAGCATTCGGGTAGGAGAGAAAACATACCAATCTACTGCTGTAACTTCCCTGTCATGGCCTTTCAATATAACGGGATCTTCCCGAGGCTTGTTTACCTGGTTGGCATTGCCAGTAGTGTCATTCTCGATCCAAGACCAGTAACAATAGCGCTTTAAAAAACAAATGTTACCTGCCAAATATAGGCGTTTCCATCGCTCGAGCCACTGACTATGTGAGCAGCATCGGGGCTAATAACTGACTGCAATTACATGATTGAAACGAAGACGTGTAAGTAGGTGGGAAATTGCACAAACTGGATTAGTGCACTGCACTTACAAACAGCAACGTTTACCTTAACAAAAAATGTTTCAATCCAGCATCCGGTGAACGCTTGAACAGGACCCTTTTGTAGTTGAAGTACGTTATACAAATATATGCCGACAGAAAACATAGGAAAAAATGAGCGTTATAGGCTGAATATTTGATAGTTTGTACGATGTCCGCGTATTATATATATGATGCACGGTAACTCTCCAAGACTTGAAAGCAATTCTGGTTTCTTATGCTAGGAGCTATTAGTTTGATGGTTGATCATACTGGGATATGAGCTGAAATCTGAAGGCACCAAATTTCTGATAATGGTGTTTTGAGCAGGCGATTCAGTTCACCAAAAAGAAAAAGATGTGCTAATAAGAGCCAAAGATACCTGTTGTCCATGCATGACGCTGAAAGCAACACTCCATTTAAATCTTGGGATAAGCTAGTTATACCGTGTAATCGTCTTTCCTGAAGTGAAAAGAATTGCTCGCTATCACGACATCGTCATATATATATCTATATAGTTGGAGGTTGCCAATGTCCAACTATCATAACAACTGACTGAGTACATATTGAAGGCTTTCTGCTAAAGCTGTCATGAGCCTCTGCCTGTTTTTTTTTTTTTTTTTGGGTTTTTTAATCCTTATAACATAATAAACCAGCAATGATCCTGATATCATCAAGGCGGACATAAAAAGTCTATCACAAAGCTCCAGACATACCTTCTCAGTTGACTCCGGTTGAGGGCATGTCTGTGTGACAACATTTTTCAAACTTCTGGTATCCCAAAACTTGACAATGCTGAAACGAACCATAAGATCACATTAGTATGATATAACTTTGACAAGGAAATTTGGCATTCCGTTACGCTGTATCATTGCCAGTATTCCAATATACCTGTCCACAGCTCCGGCGGTAGCAATGGAGAACTCATCTTTAAGATAAAGAACTGATGTGATGCTCATGGAAACAGCCTGGAAAAGCTGTCTGAATGAAGAGTACATAATAATTTAATACAAAGAACCATTATCAGAAACAAACCTTTCCGCGCCTTACACGCTTTGCCCGTGGAACAATATGAGCCCCTGTAACCACTGCAGTTGACCTGCAAGAAATTATTATAAATTAGAATTGGAAAATAAAATCAAATTTATCACGACAATGAAAATATACTTTACGAGAACAAGTTTACCGTATAGAAACCTACCCCTGCATATTTTTGGAGCTTGAATTACATCTCATATATCAAAGAGCAAAAGGAGCCATCTCTCGAACCATAGACAATAACCTCGGTCAGATAAGAAGCAATGGTTCAAATTAGTTGTATTTAATTGGTTGTATTTCTCATTAGTCATAACACAAAAAGTAGCACAAGCAAACAAAAGTACAAAAATCCACATACAGATGAAAATATAAACGTACCGGGATTAGTTGGATGAGGACACAGAGATTTCACACTTCCTGTGTGCCCCATCAGTACAGCAGTACGTTTCCTTTCCTGAATATCCCACACCTTGATCTGGGCGAAAATAGAAAGGCCAAGGAAAAACACAACACTTAATAAACTGAAGTAGCTGTGATATGACGTGAGAAATACTTAAATGCAACTTTCCGTATAAACTATACCATATTTCATAACTTTGTATTCCTAAGTTATCTGTTATTTATAGCACATTGCAGTTAGAGTTTAGTCCTAATTATCTCCAATCCCATTTCTTATTCGTTGCGGAGAATGAAACCATTCTTAGGATTGTAATCTACACAAGTAAACAGGCTGGATTAGAACTTAATCACTTACAGTCTGATCGCCGGAAGCTGTCATAATTTGAGTATCATCCTGCAAAAAGATTTATATTGCAGAAAACACATTAACACTAAAAAGACGAAAACTTTGCAATTTAAATTTGGTTCTCCAATTGTTTAACGGTTTCCGTCTCCCAAATCAACACCAAAAGTACATCAAAAGAAAGGATTGCTCTCTTGTTAGTTATTGATTAACAGCAACATCTTCGTTTTTCAGTCGACATATTAACAGCAATATCACTTCCCAATTTCTAATAGTTCACATGTAAAATTTTACTCCACAAGAATTCCAGCTTCCACATTTCACCAATCAATCAACTATTGTGTGTGCAGCATACATGAAGCTCTACATAATTGAAGGTTGTTGAGATAATAATTCTAAATTTGAGGAGAAGGTTAGGGATCATACCTTAATCCAACAGATATCGAACACGGTGTTATGATGCGCAACCCAATCACAAACCTTAGTTTTATCTGAAACCAATAACCCAAAGACCAAGTTACTCACAATACAACACAAACAGTATCAAAATCAGCAGTCTATATCAATCGATCGATTCGATCTCCAATTAATCAACCTGCATTTTCTTGGTGAGATACAGATGCACAGAATTTGCGGCGTGTATCGAACAGGCTCAAGTACCCGTCCTCGTCGGACATGGCGATGATGTGTGAGCTTTTCCAAGACTACACAGAAACCGAAAGCAAAAGTATGTCAAGAAAAACACAATTTCTTGGTATCAAATAAAGTACGATTCGCGATTCAGAAACGCTGAGACGAACAGATTCTATACCTTGCCGAACGAGATTGCCATCGGAGGACTGTAGTGCTCTGCAGCGATGGCGCCGATTTCGTAGAAATCTGATACGTACGGCCGCTTCCGAGCTGGAAAAAAAACCCCAGCGTTTAGTAATCATGAGATGCCCTAACAGATTGATTACTAAAAAGTGTAGATTTAGAGAGAGAAACTCGGAATCCGTGGAGCTCTCTGGATCTGATGTCTTGGAAGAACGATTGGGGCTTTGAGATCACCATCGAAGCCCTAGGAGCGTAAATTCGACTGAAGAATCGTTAGACGCAGCAGACGGCGGAGCTGCGAAGGAAGAAACTCTAGCGACTGGGAAAGAAATGAAGCATTAGGGCTTTTTTCTTCTTCTTCTACTTGTTTTTGTTCATGTGCTTTTGGGGACTTGGCGCGAGTGAAGTTTGGCGGGAAAATGAATTTCATGTAATTGCTGAAAGTTTGACGGATATCAGCTGGCGCCAAGGATTTATTTATTTTTCTTTTTTATTAATTTTTCTTTTTGGTAAAGACTATTTTGTTTTCTATTATTTTTCCTCTTTAGTAAATGGACTCCAAATAAAGCGAAAATGTAACTCTTGGATTATGATTTTAACGATTGAGTCATTTGTTTTTAACAAACCATATTATTTACACTAAAGAGATAAGAGAATGAACAAATCTTACAATAAATTAGCAATAATATAATTCAAATTCATAATATTAAATGGCATATTGCGGATTTGTTTGGGAAACATTCTTAAATAATTAAAAGCACTTTTAGACAAAAAGCACCTAAAATGCAAGAAGCACATAACTCAAATGTTTTTTTCCGAAATTAAGAATTGATTTCAAAATATCTTAATCTAAAACCATTTTCTGTGCGTTTGGTACGCAGACGGAACGGAACGGAACGGGACGGGACGGGACGGAACGGGACGGGACGTGACGGAAAGAAAAAGGAAGGAAATGCCGCGAGGTACGTCACCAGGTCACAAGATGTCAAGCAGCTTCAAGTCAGCCTTCCCGTCTTCAGGTTTGTCTCTGGTATTCAACTTGTAATTCTGTATTTTTAAATTATTTATGTGATTTATGAATATTTAGGGTTTGTGTATTATTCGGATTCATCGGTTGAATTAAAATTACTGTTTTGTTGGGAAAGAAAAGTAAGCTGTGTGATGTATTAATTCATGTTCATGATTTTGGAAATTATAGGAAATTGTGTATTCTACAGGGTGTGTTCCCTCGGGAGCCGAAGAAAAGGGTGAAGGGAAATCACCATACTTATTATCACTTGAAGGATGTTTCTTTCATTCAGCATGAACCGCTACTCGAGCGGTTGAGAGAGATCAGGGCATACGAAGGGAAAGTAAAGAAAGCCGATGCAAAGAAGAACAAGGAGCGAGCTGCTCTTCTGAGAGAGAGATGACCCACTTACAAATTAGATAGAATTATTTTGCAGAGGCTTGTTAACTTTTTCGTAATGTTAAAAAGTTACTTGTCTGTATGTAGAGCTTCTGACCGTTGTTTGGTATGTTTGGAACTGCAGGTATCCAAAATTCGTTGATGCACTTGGAGATATAGACGACTGCCTCACATTGGTTCACCTCTTTGCAGCATTACCTGCTATTGAGGAGGCTGCAAGATCATCTAAGAAAAGTAATGCTAATGAGAAAAATGTTTCGGTATGCCACCCTGCATCTGCGCGAAAGCGAAAGGCTGCCTCCTCTAATGAATCAGAGGTGCTTGATGATTCTGTAGAGGATAAACCATCTGTTGATGGTGTTGTAGACGACATCCAAGCTATGGACGATACAAATGTTGGGGCCATCGTCTTAGTTGCAGACGATACAAATGTTGGGGCCAACGTCTTAGCTACAGACGATATAGATTTTGGGGTCGATACCGAAGTGACAGAGCCTTTTCCAGGAGGGCTGACAGATACATCATCGCTATAGAGTTTTTAAGAGTCACGTTGCTGCGGCAGTTTGGAACAATGAGGTATTTTTAGTTTGGGTACATGACAGCATTTTTAGCCACTTACCTGTTCCATGTTTTCAATCTAAATATTGTATTTGAATTTTGTCAAAAGGAACGTGGTCCGCTAAGGTGCATGCCCAAGTGGACTACACTGACAAGCAAAATAATAACACTTTAACAAACATTATTATCTACATTAATGATTGGGAGAGTGGGTTAAGTATCATAATGGACTTGCAATAATGTAGTTCAAATTTACCTTTGACGAGAATCGAATCTAAGACCTCTTTTAATTTGATGCCATTCCGTAATATATTTGGGAATCATGAAAAACTAGATTTTTTTATGAGTAATGGAAACACAAGCTAAGTGGAAGGGGTATGCAGAAAGTAAAAAAGAGTTAAGTGGATATACAATCCTTGATTCGAACATAATGTCATTACATATATAATTGCAAGCTTGCGCTTTTTCGGTTTGGGCTAAGCAGCGATCGGATAGAGGAACAGTGAACTCGCTGAATAGATTGTACGCCGTGTACAACATCAACGAGTTTTGAAAGATAATTTAACATTGCGTGTGTCTACTATGGTGATTTGATCCAAGAGTTCCATTCCATTTCCAACTTCAATCTCACGTCATAAATATATGATCCAATACCATATTACCAATGAGTTTTATGGAATCTCAACTTTCTTCAAGTTTTTCAATTAAATTATATATATCTTCTGGAGAACAAATAAAAAAAATTGAACATTGTGGTTTTTATTAGAGGAACCAAACACTTAGTAGTGTGTACAATGCATACAAGCTTTCTTAGAAGTGATAACATTACATTACTACAATTACACAATTAATGTATCGCATACCCCATCAAGAATTTATATCCACTGTTTGATTTTCTTATGGAATACTCGTTCACAATAAGTAGATTTGAAAATCTTAACTAGCAGAGGAAATTGCATCCAAATAAATAAAGTGACGGGTATAGTACCAAGGAAAATGAACGGATAAGTAAACAATGATTTGTCCTGAAACATGATGAATAGGGCAGAAGAAAAGGCAACCATCATGGTGGCGATGGAGAGCAAAAGTGAGGAAAGGCCTAGTATCATCTTTGTAGGTAGGGATTTGAGGAAATCATCTTCAGCATAACGCGATGTAAGGATGCCCAAAAATATTAACGCTGAAGTTGCGGAAGAAAAGAGCGAAATAGCATCCGAACCTATAAAAACCATAAATACCTTTCCGTTTAAGAATATGGGAAACCCTGTATCTTCGTTGGTTCCACCAGGAACTGTGAATGCTGCAGCAAACATGATTGTAATAATGAGGGCATTGACAACTGTATAAGATTTTGCTGCACTTTTCATCCACTTTTCTCCACCCTCGAGCAGTTCCTTGTGTTCCTCGGTAAATAATTGAGCGGGTGTCAAACCATCTTTGTTTAAAGTTGAGGCTCCCGAGAGTGGAACCGCAATACTCTCTACCTCCTACATTTCATTGAACAAAAACTTATACATCGTAGTGATATGAGGTGATCGTGTTCTTTCAGTAATTATAAAGAAAAAAAAATGCTTCATTTGATACATGAATATAATGACGTAGAATTTATATTACTCTTAGACGGCAACGGCATAGAACAAAGTAAGAAAGAAGTTAAATTTCAGAGTATTAAGTGACACAATTTGAATTTTGTGGGGTTAAGTATGCGGATTGAACTTCAGGGGTCATAAATGTAATTAAGCGTACAAGAATAATAAAAAGTAATTCTAACCTTGTACCATTGCCTTTCTCTCTGCATTTGCAAGGCTGCACCGGCAATACCATCAAGCTTTTCCTTTGCCAATGGAGATAACATCCCGGCATAATGTAGTATGCTGTTGTCGGAATGATCTCTCAAAGTCGTAATGAGATTTCTTTGACGAACCCCGTATATAAGGCTATAAACATTTTCTTGACGGCATTCAACAGCATAATGAAATATGTTCTTTCCATCCTTTAAGCCTCTGAACAATAATTCTGGTCTGGCTTCACATAGAGATCTAACGATCTCAACAGTCCCATTTTGAACTGCACTGTATACTGCTTCGTACACAAGGCCATTCCTCATTTCTTTATGATTTAATTGTGCTATCCCGTCACACATGAAGGTCAAAATTGAAGTTAATCGAACATGGGTCAATTTCAGTTCACGAATGCGGCTGATTCCTAGGTTGACATTCAAAACAATGTTCACAACCACAATTTTATCAATAAATAAATAAATCGATAGTTTCAACAAATGAAAAATAGGAGCTAATTGAATTTGATAAATCAACCGACATGATTCAACAAAGGTCTGTGAGAAGTTAATTGTGTGTATCATTTTTTATAAATAAATTAATTAATAATTAATGTCCACGTACCCAAAAACTCTGAAAACTTCGATGGAAGTCCTTGTAATAAATCGAAGACTGCGACACAAATTTAAAATCAAACTTTGCTTCCAGAATTTGTTTATATGCTGATTAGATGATATATGGCAATGGCATAAGCAAATTAGAAAAATTAAATACAAATCTTATTTATATAGTGATTAGATTATGCGAGAGACCTTTTTTTAATCACTGACTCTACGTTCCCTACTTATTGCATTTGTTGCTTTTCATAATAATTTTTAAGAGATATATACCATGTATTGTATACAAACGAAAGACTTTAATTATCAAGCATGTCCCAAAAATTTGACATATTTTTCATGTTCACTTTACGTAAAATAATGATTTATATGTTGGTCATGCAGCCGTCAAAACCAGTCAGTTTTGACTGCCAAATGAGTTAAAAAAAGGGTCGTACATAATTGAGTGCTTGTTGAGGAGGGCTAGTGCAATAATGAAAATCAAGCTCCCTTCCCACCTTAAAAACCTATTTAACTATTGACCTAAAAAAAGAGAGCTTGTTCAGGGAATCGGGGTGGGTGGTTCATATCTCGTCCCATGAGAACAAAAAAGAGAAACCGCTAGCCTCTCTGCACGGGTGAAAGGTTTTTTTCATCATAACGCGAATTACATATTTTAAATGCATTTATGCGCGTTGAATGCTTCACTTGTTTTTTATTTCATTATTTTCTTCCGTTGTGTGACAAATGTTTTTTTTTTTTAGTTCATCGATATTTTTACATTAAGGGGATCTGGAGTTTGGCTAAGCCACACATTAAGCAGCCTAATTTGGTATCGAATTCGCCATCCACGAGATTCGAATCTAAAACCTCTCACTTCCAAGTGAAGAGGAATACCACTAGAATGTAGTACTGAGTGACCTCTTAGTACGTACTACGGTCTAATGGTATTCCTCTTCACTTGTAAGTGAGAGGTTTTAGGTTCGATTTTGAACCACATTATTATGGTTGGCCTAGTGTGAGGCTTAGCCCACTCCCCCACCCACTTAGTGTAGATAATATTGTTTGTTCAAAATAATATTTGAACATCTCATCACATTAATTACTAAAATTCAAAAGTTACATTCATTTGTATATGGACTATGTGATTATATTTCTTTAATCAATCGATACATATTTGTTTTAACAACAAGAAATCATCAAATATTTTGTTTACAAAACCTCATTAAAAAAAATGAACTTTAACAAAAAACTCTCGGTACTGTTTACTTTAACGAAAAACCACATTTTTAAACTAAAAAGTCAATCATTGTACTATTCACTTTACCCTTTATTTTGTCCTTATCGTTAAAACTCAAAGTTTTCAAACACTTTTCATTAGTTTTCCTTTAAAAAAATTAAGATGTTATTAGATTTAGTTTAGTTTTCTTAATTTTCAATTTTAATTTTATTTATTTATTTATGCATCTTTACTCAAAATTTTAATTTGAATATCTACATATGAAAATCTAATCATTTTCAATGAAAAATATTTAAAAGAAAATTATATGTCATCATATATGATACCTATATATCACCTAACTAATTACTAAAAACAAGGAGATGGATAAATGAAAAAATCAACCAAAAAAAAGAAAGAAAAGAAAGAGCAAAACATATGACAAGGACTTCAACATATCAAACCATAGTTAAGAGTTTTGAGATGTATCATACCTGTGCTATTCCTTTGATTGCCTTGTTCATTTTCTTGATTTTGAAAAGCTATCGCAAAATCATCGAAGGAATCATCGAGGGAGAGGGAACAAGCATAGTTTATGTGTATACCTATCAAGAAATACGGCTTCCTCATTCAAAATACTCCTTGCAGATAGTGTCTATGACATAAGACCAATTATGGTAGTACCCGTTTGTATAGGAAAATATTAAGGAGACCATCTTATTTGATGGAACAAGCATGCTTTATGTATATACCTACCAAGAAATACGACTTCCTCATTCAAAATACTCCTTGCAGATGATTTCTTGGAATTAAGGAGACCATCTTATTTGAACCACCTTATGAAATTCGTGGAAGGTGACATTTGTACATGCCACACATAGTGTTGACAAATTTGATGTTAGTAAGAGAAAAGGGAAGATACTACTAACATTTATAGATCCACCGTTGCCAAAAATTGAGCGACATCCCACTAAGGAATGCAGATGGCACACTAGAAATTGCAGATAAGGGGGAGTGTATTCCGTGGCCTCGAGTACATGCCATGCCTGGGCTATGCATAAGTAACTCCCATGCAATATCTGTATGTATGTATGTATGTATTTAGACCAATTATTATTATTATTATTATTATTATATAAGGCTTTCTCACTTCACTACTCTGAAATATCATGATTTTTAAAATTTCATACATCAAGTTTTTTTTTCATTCCAATGTCATATCTAAAGTGAGATTTGTGAGACACTTTCATACTTCTGTTAGGTTTCCATTAGAACCTCCGTTAATGCGTGACGTGGCGCCCACGTGGGGTCATATTGACATGTGGTGCCCATTCATTATACACATGGGCACCAAGTCACGCGTTAACTTAGGCATGACGAAAAACTTAATAAAAGTATGAAAGTGTACCATAATCCTTTAGGTATAACACTGAAATGAAAAAAAACTTGATGTATGAAAGTTTGAAAACTATGATACTTTAGGATAATAAAATGAGAATTACCCATATACATAGATATATAGGAAAGTGTTATTCACACAACTATTTTTTACCTCTCACACATATCTTCTTCAGTTCATTTGATCTAACCGTCGAAAATCATGGGAGGTGTAGAAATAAAAATAGATGTGTTGATAGCACTACTCTATATATATATATATATATATATATATATATATATATAGGGAAGTATTATTGGCACTCCAAAAATCTCATTCTACACTCCTCACAAGTGTATTTTTCTTTTCTAATATAGAAAGTTTGAAGTGTAGAATGAGATTTTTGGAGTACTAATAACAATTATATATATATATATATATATATATATATATGAAGCCTTTTAAGGATTGGGAACCCCATTTTTTTTTATAAAAATGAAAATTAGTTGTGAGGTCCACACCATATCGAACTTTAGAGATCCGAACCGTCTATTTTTCAAGTTGCACCTCACAGATCATCATTGCAAAATATTAGTCAAATCGGATATATTTAAGACATCTAATTGGGTTCAAAGAAATTAACGAATATCTTGTTATATAAGAAACAATGAAATTTTATCTTGATAATTGGCAAATAGTTTCGAATTGAATTGAATTTTTGCAATAATGATCTATGAATCGAGACTTATAAAATAAATGGTTTAGATCGTTGAAGTTCGATGTGAAGTGGGCCCCACACCTAATCCCCATTTAAAAAAAATGGAAATCCTTTTGCAAAGTGGCCTCTATATATATACACACACATAGTGCAGAAAATTTGATTCGGTTAAGAGTAGTTAGGTTACCTAATTGTCTGGCAAAAAGACAAAAGACAAGAAGTTGAGAGCCGTCAGTGCCTTTATCAGCCATTAGATCTTCTGTGTGAGAGTAGAGGTACCGGACTATATCCCATCGGTCATACATAGCAGCGATGAGAATCGGAAGCATTTGGCGGCCCTCTTCGGCAATACCAACTAGTTTCGTGTTCTTCGTAACCATGCATTCAACCATCTTGAGGTTGTCTCTAGCAGCATAAGCAAGAGCCGTCCAACCATCACTATCTTTTATTGCCAATTCTTCGTCCGTCATCAACTTTACCAGCTCTTCCACAATTTTCTCGTGTCCGAATATTACTGCGTTGTGAAGAGCTGTCCCCAATGAATCCATATGTGTTGTTGCATCGGTGTGTTGGCGAAAAAACTCCTTCGTTGTCCGCAAATCACCCCTCCTTACAGCAGCGAAGAAAGTTTGATATTGCTGCCGCCGGATATCATCTGTAAGGGTACGTATGTAATTAACGTGGCATTTTATACAATATATTAACTACTTTCTTTCAATTCTCGTGGGGTAACTTGAAATAACTTAATTCTTAAGTACATAGCATGTTATGACTTTAATCCAGTTTCTATTTATACACAACAATCTCTTCACACCCAACTTTTATCACTCGATACCCAACACACCCAACAAACTCTAATCTTTGGATTTGATATCAAGGTTTTGAGATTACAACCTTAATGTGAAACAGGGATTACAGGGAAAAAATTTTAATTTTAATTTTAAATAGAAAGATAAAAGATAATATTGCATAAGATACTAATAAAAGGTTGAGTCTGGTTCTTTTGGTCACCTGAACATCAAGAGTTGATGGTCACTACCCTTTGAATTTGATATCAAGGTTCGAGATAAAACCTTGAAAGCACGTCAATTTATTCATTATGGTTCCACCCTTGATAATTGATCAATAATGAGTGATTATGCATTCCTTACACACAAGTAAACCAAGAGAACCTTTCATATACATTTAATTCTTTGATTTTGATGATAGATACCTGAGTTTTCTTCTCGGTTGAACTTTGCTTCCAAAGTATCCCAAGCAGCTTTGGCGGTGGTTTTGTCACGGATCATAGGAAAAGTACGCGGCCCGCAAGAAAGTTGGATTGCAAGCAAAGCTTTGGCATTATTCTTCCTCCATGCCTTAAACTTGGGTCTACCGCTTGTTTCAACAACGTCCCAAAGATCTTTAGAGAGCAGATAGGTTTTGACGCGGACACTCCAATCCTTATAATCGTCTTCTCCGTCGAGGATTTGAGGAACAATTGTACTAGACGCAGCTGCCATGCTTCTAAATCTATCAATTTTTCCAAACCAGATTTTATTAGATCACGATCATATATGTGGGTGTGAAAACAAAGAAAGAAATAGTGAACCAAGTATAAGGAATTAACTACTTACAATTGAAATGGGGAAGCCTTCAGAAAATGGTTCAGCTTGAATTGGTGATCTATAGCATTGGTGCCGCTACATATGTATAGATATACTAATAGTCAACGGTAAGATATCATATTATGTTTTTTTTTTAACAAATGATATTATCTACACTAAGGGAAAGGGAGGGGGTGAACTTAGCCTCACAATGGGCTAGCAATAATATTGTTTAAACTCACATTTGGTGATAATCGAATATAAGATCTTTCATTTACAAGCGAAGAGGAATACCACTAGACCATAGTACTAAGTGGCTTTCAAAGGAAGAAGAAAATTTTATATAATTAGAAGAAAAAAAAAATACATTTGTGAGAAGATGATAATTTAGGATGCTAATAACAATCCCTTATTTTATTGATGTACACTTCTAGATCGACATGGTAACAAATTAATCAGCTGTCCCTGTTTTATAATGTCAAGTCTCGTTGTTGCAATCTTACTTTAGAAATATACTTGACAATATTAATCAAAGTAGGGAAAAATAATAATGAACCTTGTCCTTTGAAAAGAAAAATACGTTATTACCACTATTTTTAGGGTAAATTATACAAAATTACCTTAACTATTGGTCGAACTACAATGTCATACATCATGTTTAAAATATTGCAATATCATACATTATCTTACGAATACGCTACAATGTTAGACCTCCGTCTCACTTTCTGTTAGTTTTACTATTATATGCCTATGTGAACATTGCGGGCCCACACTAATTGTTCCAAAGAGTAAAAAATCCCTTTTAAAAAAAAAAAATGTTCTTAATTAACCAAATCCCACCGGTTTAGCCTTAATTTATTCCTACAAATCCCACCCGTTTAGCCTTTAGGATCTATGTTTACCCAATAGTTGAGGAATTATCGACCAACCGAATAACCTTTTTTTTTCAAAAAATGGGATTTTTTACTTTTATCCATGTGGACCAATTAGTGTGGGACCCACAACGTCCACGTAGGTAGATAACGGTAAAACTAACAGAAATTGAGACAGACGTCTGACATTGCAACGAAATCGTAAGATAAGGTATGACATTGCAATGTTTTAAACACGAGGTATGACATTGAGATTCGACCAATAGTTGAGGTATTTATGTGTAATTTACCCATTTTTTTAATAATGGCATGTTGACATGTTATGATACTTATTCATTTTTATTAATTGAGTAATGTTACACTTACCATATTTTTCATACCACATTAATCTAAGGATCAAATGAGCAGTATCAAGTAAGCCTAGATGGGAGTTAGAAGCCATACTTTGCGTACAAATTAATTTAAGGATCAAAGCAGCAGTATCAAGTAAGCCTTGTTGGGACCTGGGAATTTAGAAGTCATACTTTGCTTACAAATTAAGCTAAGGATCAAAGGAGCAATATCAAGTAAGGGACTAGTATCCTCACCGGATCCATTTCATAGGGATCCTAGGGATCCCGCAAACCTGTCTGTTCATCGTATATCATGCAGTTAGAAATCATTTAAAATTTAAAATTTAAAATTTAAAATTCAAATGTAAATAGTACCTAACAAAAACTGCACGATATACGATGAACAGACAAGATTGTGGGATCCCTAGAGAATGGATCCGGCGAGGATCCTGGTGCTCAAGTAAGCCTAGCTGGGAGTTAGAAGCCATACTTGGCATAAAAATTAATTTAAGGATCAAAGCAACAATATCAAGTAAACCTAGATGGGACTTGGGAATTTAAAAGCCATACTTTGCCTACAAATTAATCTAAGGATCAAAGGAGCAGTATCAAGTAAGTCTACTTAAGAGTTAGAAGCAGTACTTGGCGTACAAATTAATTTAAGGATCAAAGCAGCAGTATCAAGTAAGCTTAGTTGGGACCTAGGAATTTAGAAGTCGTACTTTGCCTACGAATTAATCTAAGGATCAAATGAGCAGTATCAAGTAAGCCTAGCTGGGAGTTAGAAGCCATACTTGGCGTACAAATTAATTTAAGGATCAAAGTAGCAGTATCAAGTAAGCGTAGCGGGGACTTGGAAATTTAGAAGCAATACTTTACCTACAAATTAATCTAAGGATCAAAGGAGCATATCAAGTACTCCTAACTGGGAGTTAGAAGCCATACTTGGTGTACAAATTAATTTAAGGATCAAAGCAACAATATCAATTAAGCTTTATTGGGATGTTAAAATGCTTCGAAGTTGTTGAGCCGTATTGCCCTGAGAGGGTACTTAGGCAGTTTGGACGTGTACAGACAATTCCAAAGGCACCGTGTGTCCTTCCTCGAAGCACAAAAGCAACTCATGCATCAGTTAACAAGTTATTATATGAATACATAGATGGGATGTGGGATGGGTGGCAGAATCACGTCTTGCATCAAAATAACCGAAGCAGCCCAGTTAGCATTGCATCAGATGTTGTCTCAGGGTACTTGGACTGGTACCACAAAGTATCTCATCCTTATGTTCACAACCCAGCACATAGTACTTCCTCATTTGACCCACAATATACATCACACACGTCATACTATCAGGTAAATAGTAAATATTTTAATTTGAGTAGAAATTGTTGTCGAAATTGCATTCACTTGTATTTGGTTATTATTTGTTACAGGATCGTGTGCAACGTATCCTGAACATCACTAGGCGTATAGTGGACATGGGGAAGGAAGTTGCATTGAGAGATTTCCCTGATGATGTCTACAACGCAGTTGAGAGCATACAAAATCTTTTAGAGGGTAGAAGTTCGGATGGATGACTATGCGTAAGAACTCATCAGATTTGCTAAGTAAGCATCTAAAACTGTATTTGGAATCACACCCAGTTACTTATGGCACAAAAATACAATGCGATGAGAGTGATATTTTCACCGTAAAAATCTTTCTGTATGCGCTTTACATTCCATATAGAAACCTGCACAAAATCAAACCAGAAAAAAATCAACCTTCGAAACTAAGAATGAGATTTCGAGGAAACAAAGTGTCCGGGAATTCTTTTTTTGCACTTACGGTTGAAATAATCTGAAAGCAGGGTTGATGCATCCAGTTATGAAGCAGTAGACTCAGAGGGAATGTCAGCACTATGTACAATAAGCCCAAGGAAAAAGAGAGCCTACAAGTTTAAGGGAGGTACTCCAAAGTAATCACGGATTGTTTTCCTTTTTAGGGAGGAGGGAGGGTTCAGAACAGAAGACGGGCTCTCAGATGCAGCTTCGGGGGTCTTCTCGAAGGTCTTGCTAAAGTCAGGATCCGACATGGATTGTTTCTTCTGTGACGGGGGAGTACTCATTTTGGGCATACTAATCGGATTTAGTGAGTTGGTTTCGTCTAATCCTTCATCTGACGGACACAAATTTCTGGAAACCTTTGAGGTATGCATCGTTGATTCACTCATCAGAAGCTTTCTACACTCAGCGCTTGGGATTGCCATAACTCTTCTTCGAACGGTAGATGGTGAGCTTGTGCTTGGGGAGTAACTTTTCTGAGAGTTCCAAATGCGAACCTATCGAGATGAAATATACAGGTGAAAAGTTGAATCTAAAACGTTATAGAAAATGGCAAATGCATTGTGTGAATTGATGAATGTACAATCTTATATATGAACTGTGACTCTGTCTTGCATACCGTAAAATCATCTGACGACGTCGCCATCTTCCCGACCTCAAACTGGGACCTATTCAAAGTCGAAAAAAGGTTCAGTCATTCGTCAAGAAATATCGAAAACCAGCAGCATTCGGGTAGGAGAGAAAACATACCACTCTACTGCTGTAACTTCCCTGTCATGGCCTTTCAATACAACGGGATCCTCCTGAGGCTTGTTTACCTGGTTGGCATTGCCAATAGTGTCATTCTCGATCCAAGACTTAGACCAGTAACAATAGCGCTTTGAAAAAACAAATGTTACCTGCCAAATATAGGCATTTCCATCGCTCGAGCCACTGACTATGCGAGCAGCATCGGGGCTAATAACTGACTGCAATTACATGATTGAAACGAAGACGTGTAAGTAGGTGGGAAATTGCACAAACTGGATAGTGCACTGCACTTGTAAACAGCTACGTTTACCTTAACAAAAAATGTTTCAATCCGGCATCCGGTGAACGCTTGCATAGGACCCTTTTGTAGCTGAAGTACGTTATACAAATATATGCTGACAGAAAACATAGGGAAAAATGAGCGTTATAGGCTGAAAATTTGATAGATTATGTGATGTCCGCGTATTATATATATGATGCACGGTAACTCTCCAAGACTTGAAAGCAATTCTGGTTTCTTATGCTAGTAGCTATTAATTTGATGGTTGATCGTACGGGGATGTGAGCTGAAATCTCAAGGCACCAAATTTCCGATAATGGTGTTTTGAGCAGGCGATTCAGTTCATAAAAAAAAAAAAATGTGCTGATAAGAGGCAAAGATACCTGTTGTCCATGCATGACGCTGAAAGAAACACTCCATTTAAATCTTGGGATAAGCTAGTTATACCGTGTAATCGTCTTTCCTGAAGTGAAAAGAATTGCTCGCTGTCACGACATCGTCATATATATCTATATAGTTGGAGGTTGCCAATGTCCAACTATCATAACAACTGACTGAGTACATATTGAATTTATTTCAGGAAGTGTATGAGTAAGAGCATAGTCGCTTGTTGCAGGCTTTCTGCTAAGCTGTCGTGAGCCATTGCCTGTTTTTATTTTATTTTTTCGGGGTTTTTAATCCTTATAATATAATAAACCAGCAATGATCCTGATATCATCAAGGCGGACATCAAAAATCTATCACACAGTTCCGGACATACCTTCTCAGTTGACTCTGGTTGAGGGCATGTCTGTGTGACAACATTTTTCAAACTTCTGGTATCCCAAAACTTGACAATGCTGAAACGAACCATAAGATCACATTAGTATGATATAACTATGACAAGGAAATTTGGCATTCCGTTACGCTGTATCATTGCCAGTATTCCAATATACCTGTCCACAGCTCCGGCGGTAGCAATGGAGACCTCATCCTTAAGATAAAGAACTGATGTGATGCTCATGGAAACAGCCTGGAAAAGCCTAAGTCTGAATGAAGAGTACATGATAATTTAATACAAAGAACCATTATCAGAAACAAACCTTTCCACGCCTTACACGCTTTGCCCGTGGAACAATATGAGCCCCTGTAACCACTGCAGTTGAGCTGCAAGAAATTGTTATAAATTAGAACTGGAAAATAAAATCAAATTGATCACGATAATGAAAATATACTTTACGAGAACTTCTTTACCATATAGAAACCTCCCCCTGCATATTTTTGGAGCTTGAATTACATCTCATATCCCAAAGAGCAAAGGAGCCATCTCTCGAACCAGAGACTATAACCTCTGTCAGATAAGAAGCAATGGTTCAAATTAGTTGTATTTAATTGGTTGTATTTCTCATTAGTCATAACACAAAAAATAGCACAAGCAAATAAAAGTACAAAAACCCACATACAGATGAAAATATAAACGTACCAGGATTAGTTGGATGAGGACACAGAGATTTCACACTTCCTGTGTGCCCCATCAGTACAGCGGTACATTTCTTTTCCTGAATATCCCATACCTTGATCTGGTTGAAAATAGAAAAGGCCAACGAAAAACACAATCTTTAAGAAACTGAAATAGCTGTGATATGAAGCGAGAAATACTTAAATGCAACTTTCCTCATAAGCTATACCATATTTCATAACTTTGTATTCCTAAGTTATCTGTTATTTATAGCACATTGAAGTTAGAATTTATTCCTAATTACCTCAATCCCATTTCCTATCCGTTAACGAAAATGAAACCATTGCTAGGATTGTACTCTACACAAGTAAACAGGCTGGACTAGAACTTAATCACTTACAGTCTGATCGCCGGAAGCTGTCATAATTTGAGTATCATCCTGCAAAAAGATTTATATTGCAAAAAACATGTTAATACTAAAAAAGACGAAAGTTTTGCAATTCAAATTTGGTTCTCCGATTGTTTAACGGTTTAACCCGTCTCCCAAATTAACACCAAAATTACAAAAGAAGGGGTTGCTCTTTTGTTAGTTACTGATTAACAGCAACATCTTCGTTTTTCAGTCAACATATTAACAGCAATATCACTTCCCAATTTCTAATAGTTCACATGTAAAATTTTACTCCACCAGAATTCCAGCTTCCTCATTTCACCACTCAATCAACTATTGTGTGCAGCATAAATGAAGTTCTATATAATTGAAGGTTGTTGAGATAATAATTCTAAATTAGAGGAAAAAGTTATGGATTATACCTTAATCCAACAGATATCGAACACAGTGTTATGATGTGCAACCCAATCGCAAACCTTAGTTTTATCTGAAACCAATAACCCAAAGACCAAGTTACTCACACAATACAACACAAACAGTATCAAAATCAGCAGTCTTTATCAATCGATCGACTCGATCTCCAATTGATCAACCTGCATTTTCTTGGTGAGATGCAGATGCACAGAATTTGCGCCGTGTATTGAACAGGCTCAAGTACCCATCCTCATCGGACATGGCGACGATGTGTGAGCTTTTCCAAGTCTACACAGAAACCGAAAGCAAAAGTATGTCAAGAAAAACACAATTTCTCGGTGTAAAAAAAAGTACGATTTGTGATTCAGAAACGCTGAGACGAACAGATTGTATACCTTGCCGAACGAGATTGCCATCGGAGGGCCGTTGTGCTCTGCAGCAATGGCGCCAATTTCGTAGAAATCCGATGCTAGTCCATTGACGTACGGCCGCTTCCGAGCTGGAACAAAAACACAGCTCTTGGTAATCGTGAGATGCCCTAACAAATTGATTACTTAAAAGTGTAGATTTAGAGAGAGAGAGAGAGAGAGAGAACCTCTGAATCCGTGGAGCTCTCTGAATCTGATGTCTTGGAAGAACGATTGGGGCTTTGAGATCTCCATCGAAACCCTAAGACCGTAAATTCGACTGAAGAATCGTTAGACGGCAGCAGACGGCGGAGCTGCGGAGGAGGGAACTCTGGCGACCGGGAAAGAAATGAAGAATTAGGGCTTGTCTTCTTCTTCTTTTTGTTTATGTGCTTTTGGGACTTGGCGCGAGTGAAGTTTGGCGGGAAAATGAATTTCATGTAATTGCTGAAAGTTTGGCGGATATCAGCTGGCGCCAAGGATTTATTTATTTTTCTTTTTTATTTATTTTCTTATTGGTAAAGACTATTTTGCTTTCTATCATTTTTCCTCTTTAGCAAATGGACTCTGAATAAAGCGAAAATGTACCTTTTGGGTTACGATTTTAGCGTTGGAATTTTTTTTTATTTTAACAAACGATATTATTTACATTAAAAGAATAGGGAGTGGGCTAAATTTCATAATGACTAGTAATAATATGGTTCATGCTTACCTTTGACGCGAATCAAACCTAACTCTCACTTATAAGTGAAAATGAATACTACTAAATCATAATACTAAATGACATTTTGTGGACTTGTTTGGGAAGTATTCTTAAATGATTGAAAGTGTTTTTAGAGACAAAAAAAATACCTGAAATGCTTTCAATAAGAAACACATAACTTGAGTGTTTTTCTAAAATTAATTTCCATTCCAACTAAAAATTAATGTTAAAAATATTTTATTTAAAATCGTTTTTAATCATTTAAAAGAACGAGTCATTTAAACCCATTTAATGTGCACACCTCTGAAATAAGCCCAAGTCAATTTTGTTGTTGCAATTAAAAGCCCATACAAAATGGATTTGTGAGTTCTTCCTGTAACAGGCCCAAAACTATAAATTAATAATTTCTTAGATAACCCGAGCTCGCCAACCCGACCCGTATGAAAGTCGGTTCGGCTTAAGTCTTAACCTAAACCTCCTTACGTTACAGTCTCTTCAGCCTCCGCGCGCACTCTTTCCTCCCTCTCTCCTCTCTCTCCAAGTCCCGCCCTCACCGCGCTGCCGCCATGGTCAAGCACCCTGCGGCCCCGGTGAAGCATAAGCATTACAGGCCTGCTGTAAGTTCGAATTCACCTCCTCCGTCTCCGATAAGCTCACCTATATATATATATATATATATATATATATATATATATCAAATTAAAATTTCCAATATTTAATTTCACCATTTTCTAACACTTTGCCGTTGATTTTCCCTCGTAATTTGCAGGGAAAGAAAAAGGAAGGAAATGCCGCGAGGTACGTCACCAGGTCACAAGCTGTCAAGCAGCTTCAAGTCAGCCTTCCCGTCTTCAGGTTTGCTTCTGGTATTCAACTTGTAGTTTCTGTATTTTCAAATTATATATGTAATTTATGAATATGTAGGGTTTAGGGTTTATGTATTATTGGGGTTTATGTATTATTCGGATTTATGTATTATTCGGATTTATCGGTTGAATTATCATTACTGTTTTGTTGGGAAGGGAAAGTAAGCTGTGTGATGAATTAATCCATGGTCGTGATTTTGGAATTGTAGGAAATTGTGTATTCTAAAGGGTGTTTTCCCTCGGGAGCCGAAGAAAAAGGTGAAAGGAAATCACCATACTTATTATCACTTGAAGGATGTTTCTTTCATTCAGCATGAACCGCTACTCGAGCGGTTGAGAGAGATCAGGGCATACGAAAGGAAAGTAAAGAAAGCCGATGCGAAGAAGAACAAGGAGCGCGCTGCTCTTCTGAAAGAGAGAAGACCCACTTACAAATTAGATAGAATTATTTTGCAGAGGTTTGTTCATTTTTCTTATTGTTAAAACGTTTGTTGCGTGTCTGTTATTGTGTGTAGAGCTTCTGACCGTTGTTCTTTGGTATGTTTGGAACTGCAGGTATCCGAAATTTGTTGACGCACTTAGAGATATAGACGACTGCCTCACAATGGTTCACCTCTTTGCAGCCTTACCTGCTATTGAGGATAGAATTGATGTGAAACGCATTCATAACTGTCGGAGGTAGATATTTGAATGTTTCCAAACAAAAGGCGTTCTGAAGTATGAAATGATGCTTGGATACTTCTAGCAGTTCATCATTTTGTGGAATCTTCCCTTAATATTGGTATTGCTTTCATACCAGGTTGAGTCATGAATGGCAAGCTTATATATCTCGGTCTCATAAATTGCGTAAAGTCTTTGTATCTGTTAAAGGCATATATTATCAGGTATGGTTATGTACTGTACACTGCTTATTCAAATCTTGAACTGGGAATTTTGTATTTTTTGGGTATGAATTCTTCCATTGTTTGTCCAAGCAGGCCGAAGTTAAGGGGCAAAAAGTCACATGGTTGACCCCTCACCCTTTGCAGCAAGTTTTGACTGATGATATCGACTTCAATATCATGCTTAACTTTTTGGAATTCTATGAGGTTATATTTTTTTGTATTTCAACTTTTTCTTTATCAATATCTGTGCTGTAAAAATTTGGTTCATTCCAGCGAACCAATTACTTGAAATAAACTCTCGCTCTCCCTATGTTGCAGGCTCTTCTTGCCTTTGTGAACTGTCATTTATATCGTTCCATAGATGTGAAGTACCCACCCATTCTTGATTCTCGATTGGAAGCTTTAGCAGCAGGTAAGAATTTATACTAGTTGCTTATGATATTTTACAAGTTCCTTGCTTGTCATTTAGAGTTTTTAGCGCTCTTGAGCTGTGATTGTACTTTTGTGCATATCTTTTAAAGGATTTCCTCAACTTTTCAGAACTTTATGCACTTGCAAGATACCTCGATGCAAATTCTCGGTCCGCTGTATTGGATCCTCAAGCTTCTAGTTTGTCTGAATCTGGGAGTGGTGAGAACAAGAAGATTGAGACTTCGGTTGAAGAGTCTGAACTAAGACTTGCCCAACTTCAACATCAACTGCCTTCGAATGAACCAGGTGCATTAATGCACCTTGTTAAAGATGTTTCTAGCGAGGATGAAGAGGATAATGATACAAAGGAGTGTAAGCAACTCTTCAAGGATATGAAATTTTTCTTGAACCGTGAGGTGAGTCTAAAGTTTAAATTTCAACTTAGTAGATCTTTTTTTTCAAAAAAAGTTGCGGTAGTGGACTTTAACTTTACTTTAAAGGGCTTCCGTTTATGGTTGGGATAAATTACCGTTGGAGGTTACTCAATTTTATCTTTTAAAAAATAACCAAAGTGCAAAATCACATCATGATTGATATGGGATTATGAAGCAACGTTTGTTCGTATGGTTGATAGGCAATAGAATTGTGTTGAGTTTATTATGTTAATCTTTTTTCTTTATTCAGGTTTACAGAGAGTCATTGCTTTTCGTCATTCCTGCTTTTGGTGGCACTGTTTCTTGGGAAGGTGATGGGGCTCCATTTGAGGAAGCTGATGACAGTATTACCCATCAGGTATGCCCTTGCCTTTTTTATTTTGTTTTTGATGGCTGAGTCTTTGGCTGTTCTGTGGTATCTCTCTTTCCTTTTCCCACAAGAAAAAAAAAAAGAAGTAAAAACCGAAAAGAACTGATTATAAGGCTGACAACACTGTTTGTTCATTTGTAGATTGTTGACAGGCCAATGCATGGTCGTCAGACCCTTGCCAGGGAATACGTTCAACCACAATGGGTTTATGACTGTATAAATGCTCGGATCATTTTGCCTACTGGGGGTTATTTGGTGGGAAGGTAATATTAGGAGTCATTTTTCTTTGTCTTCCACGTATATAAGTCCGTGTGTTTTACTGTTTTGTTTAGTTAACCTCTCTGCCTTGGACCCTGATGAAATGACTAGTTATTATTTCATTTAGTATGTTCTACTGCATCCGCTAATATGTTTGTTTGTGCACAACTAGGTTACATGGATGAATACCTTCACTTACCCTTTCTTCTCATAATTTGATACTAAATGTTTCCGATTGTTAATTTGGGTGCTCTTTAACAGGGATCCTCCCCCACACTTGTCACCATTTGTTGACAATGAGGCAGAAGGTTATGTTCCGGATTATGCTGAGACCATAAAAAAATGGAAGTCTGCTGGTGAAGTCCTCCCCCCTGCCAGGAGTGGGACAAGAAGATTTGGAAGATCCTCAGAATTTACTGGCTGAAGGTGTCATTGACCGAGCAAAAGCAAAAGAAGCTGTGGAGAGAAAGAAGAAGGTAAACAGGTTTTAAATAATGATGCTGAGATGTGTTATTTTTCTGCTATTAGATTTCATTATGTGCATAGAGACCTCATCGCTTGGTCTTGATTGATGCTAACTGAATTCTGATATGATACAGATGATGGCTCTTGAGAAGCAGTATCATGACGAATTGAATATGGAGCTTCAGGGCATCCAACATCCATCATCTACCTCGAATGTAGATAATCAGAACTCTGCCAAGGACACCACCGAGGAGGTGGAAGAGTTTGATCCTGATACTGATCGTGACAATATGTCTAAAATGTTAATGTCCCGTAAGAAGAGGGGCGTGCTTGAAGCTATGGAGGTAAGTTTATTGATAATTTCCTGCTATTTTCGTGGATTTTCTGAAAACATGAGAAATTGCTTGTTGTACCTTGTTTCAAATCAATGATTCTTGGGTGCTTCGTTAATACAGAAAGGCAAAAAACGAAAGAAGGACCACGTCGATGTCATCAGGGAACGGAAGAGAAAACTTAAAGAATCCCAAAAGTAAAAGGAATGCTAAGGCAGTCAAGAAAACTGAGTCGTATGGTTTTGTTATTGACATGCTGTTTTCGGAGCACAAAAATCTGAAGAGAGTGTTGATGCGGCCATGGAAATTTTTGTGTTTAATTTTGTTGTTGACTTGAGTGACTTCTGTAATCTCTAGTTATGTTTGAACTTCCAAATTTGAAGCTTGTTATGATTATCGCCAATTTACACACGAGTGTTGACAAATTTATATATGCCGTCCCTTTATAGTGAAGTTTCTTAAAACCTTTTGGTACTGTTGAGGTGTGAAAAAATAGGGTAATGCTACGGAGGTTATTTATTTGAATCATACTTGTAAATTATATGACGTAGTTGTTGATAATAGAATTATTATAAGTGTTGTTTGGTTTGCTTATTTTTTATTAGTCACGCATCACATGGTTTACAAATGTTGTGACCTCACATGGGCGCGCATCTCGCAAGAATTTAAGGAAAAGAATCGGGTTAAATTTCTTGAAATGGGACGTGGTGGTTGACATCAACATTAGGGAGTTCAGAGATGCAGGGGATCTCTGGAAGAGTTATCTTTTCTATTTAACAGTGTACCCACCCTAGAAACGGCTTAGCCGGATGTAGGGTTCATTGGTTGGAAGAGCACCACATGTCACGTGGTGTCCAGTGTGCCTCCCGCTGCCCTTGAAAATCCTGAAGACTGACAAAGTTGTTCTACTTAGCATTACTCGAAAAGATAATTTTACAAGCAAAAGTTTTCTCTTTTGAGTTAAAAGTATATCAGTTCATGAGTAGACAAGTAGAGGACTTTTTAATATGATTCTTACCATTTGTTTGTTCTACCGTGAAAATTGTGACTAAATATTGAAAATTTTCACTTTTCACTCAAAAAAACCGAAGTGAGAAACATATACAATCGCCCTATACTGTACACAAACTACAAATTTACAGTCCTGCAAACATTTAGCTCACTCTTTACAAATCAATGAATATGAACTTATTCAAGCTGCACAATCACACACTTCACACTCAAACCTCTACAATATCGTCGAAAACAATCGGAACTTGGAACAAGCTAGCACACCCACAAAATTCGTTAAAGCTCCCAATTCTTCAACTGCTGGAACCCATCTGGATTCTTGCATTTTGTTTCGTTTCATTTTTCTGACTTTGTCTTTGAATGAGAAGACTTACCAGTGATGGCTTTCTTCACCTTGGAAATCGAATGCTTGATACCCGAAAGAATGTTGTTAGACTTCTTATGTGAAACCACCTTCACATTGACATCAGCATCCCTTGAGGCTTCTACCATGATGGGGGAATCGTATCCTGGCTCTCCATTTTTGTGTTCGTTTTCGCCTTTCTCTTCATCCGTTTTCACCTCTTCACAACTTTCGTGCTCTTCTTCTTCGTCTTCCTCAATTTGCTGTTCTTTGGAAGTCGTTGTTGCTTCTTTCTCCTCAGGCGTGTGCGTACCCACTTGCATTCTTTCTTTGATTTCCGGAGCAACGCATGTATCATTGGTAGACTTAGTATCCTTTGCTTCAACCTCTTGTGAAGTTTCGACAATTGGAGACTTCTTTGAGTCCTGCTTGTGAGATAAATAGTTAAGCTTCTAAGTTGATTTTTTTTTTCGTCAACCATGTAAAAAGATCTTAAGGACGAAGATTGAAATTTCTGTTAGAAAGATAGAGGGATATTTGTTTCTTTAAAAATAATTAAGCAGAATTTTTGTGTGTAATAAGTGACTTGCATGGCAAGAAGGAGTAGGGTTTTATGTAATCTGACCTTCTCCATTTGGGTTTCTGTGATGATGCTCTTGGAGTTTATTTCATCATCTTGATTTTTAAGGCCAAATTCAAAAGCTGCCTCCTCAACTCTCTTCTCTTCTTCTGGAAAGCCGTCTTGTGTTGTCTTATCCTCGATAAAACGTGGGTCATGCTCCTTGATGGTTAGGTCTTCAAATGTGAGCTGTCTTTCATACTTCTCACAGGGAATTCCCTTTTCATCTACCTCAGACAACTGGATTATAGATTAAAGATTCAAAGTTGTAAGAAATGAGACTTTATGTTAAAACGATAATTAGGAACGTTTGTTTTCTATTCACTGACCTCGTTCTGATGTTCATTTGTTCTGATCGTAGATGCTTCATCGGTCTGCTCTCCTTGTTTTTCAGCTTCTGCTTTGTTTTCATGATGGCTCTCTTCTCTGACAGAATCTGGCTCCGACTCTTCTGGAAGTTTCTCATCCTCCGCGATCTGTTAATTTACCCCTAGTTAATACTTTTGCTTCAACATATAGACAACTGCACGAAAATAATTACATGACGAGTGAGTCCAATTGTATATATTACCTCTTCATTTGAACTTTCCCTTGGTACTTCTTGAGTAAGGTGAAGCTCAAAATCAGAAGCTTTGAGTTCCCTCGGCTCTTCCTTTATCAAGCTTGTCTCTTTCGCTGTGCTTGTAGCTTTTGAGTTCTCATCATCTTGCATTTGCAGGTTGCTGGAGTTATCTTCTATATTCTTGTCAGAGATTGCATTTCCATGCTCTTCCGAAGCTTTGATCTCCTTTTCCTCAGGAAGCAATACAGAAGATGGTATTTGAAGTCTCTCTGTTGATATTCCTTCGTGGAGTGTCTGATCAGAAATGGCCTCATCACTCGTAACAACAGCAGTGCTTTGATAATCAGGTTCAGAGACTGTTTCATGAGTTTTCTTCATTTCTTCAGTTTCACGAGCATCCAGATTTTCTGGAGCCAATACAGAAACTTTGAGCTCCCCAGGCTCATCCTTTTGTAGCAGTGTCTCTTCTGCCAACGCTGCAGCAACTAAATCTCTATCATTTTCATCAGCTGGCACTTCTGTTTCCTTGGCGTACACTTCCTCTATGCTTTTCTCTTGGGTTGCAGTTTCACGATCGTCTTGATGAGTTTTGAGCTCCTCTTCCTTGGGAAGCGAAGCATAAGATGCCTCAAGACGTGTTTGATCAGCAACAATTTCATCTTTCGGAACTGCATAAGTGCTTTGAGAATCAGATTTAGAGATCGTCTTAAAAGTTTCTTTGATTTCTTCTTCTGTATCACCTGCATCCAGCTTTTCCAGAGCCAACTTAGAAGCTTTGAGTTCTTCAGACTCTTCCTTTAGCAAAGGTGTCTTGTCTTCTGACCCCACAGCAGATAAATCTCCCGCGTTTTCATCAGCTGGCACTTCCTTTTCATGCTCTTCTTCTATATTCTTGTCTTTGGTTGGAGTTTCATGCTCATATTGAGAAGCTTCGATCTCCTTTGCCTCAGCAAGCAATGTAGAAGATGGGATTTCAACTTGGTCTTGTGATATCCCTTCATCAAGTGTCAGGCTAGTAACGATCTCATCTTTCGAAACTACATCCATGCTCCGAGAATCAGATTCAGGAACAATTTCAGAACCTTCTTTGCATTCTTCTTCAGTAGCATTAACAGTTAGCTTTTCTGGAGCCAATTCAGAAACCTCCGCATGCCCTTCCGTTTGCAAGCTTGTCTCCTCTGTTGTCTTTTCGGCAAAAGAAGCTTTGTCCTCCAAGTCACAAACCTCCTTCGCGTCTGCTGCATCACTAATTTTGACTGGTACCTTCTCTTCTTCCGGTTCATATTTCTCTAAAGCATGTGCTAAATCTTCTTCTCCTTTTGATGTTACCTCTGCACTTGATTCAGTAACTGTGACTGCACCATTATTGTAATCGTCTTCAGTAACATCCTCCTCCTTTGAAGCTTTTGCTGAATCTTGACTGCTACCTTCTCCTGGGTGACCTTCCCCATACTTCACCGGTGAAGCATAAAAAATTTCTTCAGATGGTTCAGCAATCTGATTCGTTTCATATGTGGTGCTCTTACCTACTCCAGCAATCTCCGGCTCTTCAAGTATCTGTACAAAAAAGAAGTTTATATTCGAAACAGACAAACAATAACTTCCCTGGAGACAAATTAAGCTATATAAGCTGACCTCTTCCTGTAAGTTTTCTGCCTCTTTGTCAATGTTTTGAGAGTTCTTAGGAGATTCTTCTAGAATTATATCTGGTGTACAAAGTGCGGCATTGCCTTCTGTAGTTTGTCCTTCACCGAAATCTCCGTCAGTGTTCTTTGGCTCATCCAGGACATGTTCTAGCAGTTGAGGCTTCAGAAAGAAACGGAAGAGTTAGAGAATACGAAATTAGCGTTTCTATTAATTGTGCATGGGTGTCACATGCTTATGGTCATCATGTTGTATAATGCATACCTCTTCAACTATCATGTTATTCTCGGGATGGTCTTCTGATTCGCGACTCTCATCTTCAACTCTCAATTTTGGTTCCGCTTCCTCAAGGCTTTGCACTTGAAAGCTTTCCTCCACGGCCTTAACTCCAGCCAGCTCAGTGTTGGATTCGCGTTCATGGAGTGCCCAATAAGCAGTCGTCTCACTTTCACCTGCCTCATGCTCCTTTTCCTTGGGAAGTGAAGTATAAGATGCCCCATCGAGAGTTTGATCAGCAACAATATCATCTTTGGAAACTGTATCAATATTTTGAGAATCAGATTTAGAGATTGTTTCCAAAGTTTCTTTGATTTCTTCAGTTTCATCAGCATCTAGCTTCTCCGGAGCCAAATCACAAGCTTTAAACTCTCTAGGCTCTTCCTTTTGCAAGCATGTCTCTTCTTCAGAAGTTGCAGCAACAAATAAATCTCTAGTGTTTTCATCAGCTGGAACTTCATTTTTCTCTGTGCTCCCATCTTCTTTATTCTTGTCTTGGGTTGTAGTTTCATGCTCACGTTGAGAAATTTTTATCTCTTTTTCCTTGGGCACCAACGTAGAAGATGGTAATTGAAGTTGCTCATTTGATATACCTTCATGGAGTGTCTGATTAGCAGTCGTCTCATCTCCCGAAACAACTTCAGAGCTTTGAGAATCAGATTTAGACACCTTTTCAAAAGATTCTTTAATTTCTTCTTCCGTTTCACCAGCATCCAGATTTTCTGGAGCCAAATCAGAAACTTTGAGCTCCTCGGGCTCTTCCTTTTGAAGCAGTGTCTCTTCTGCCAACGTTGGTGCAACCAAATCTCTCCCACTTTCATCAGCTGGCACTTCTGTTTCCTTGGCATACTCTTCCTCTACACCTTTGTCTTGGGTTGTAGTTTCATGATCGTCTTGATAAGTTTTGAGCTCCTCTTCCTTGGGAAGCAAAGCATAAGATGCCTCAAGGTGTGTTTGATCAGCAACAATTTCATCTTTTGGAACTGCATCAGTGCTTTGAGAATCGGATTTAGAGATTGTCTTAAAAGTTTCTTCGATTTCTTCTTCTGTATCACCTGCATCCAGCTTTTCCAGAGCCAACGCAGAAGGTTTGAGCTCTTCGGACTCTTCCTTTGGCAAGGGTGTCTCGTCTTCTGACCTCACAGCAGATAAATCTCCTGCGTTTTCATCAGCTGGCATTTCCTGTTCATGCTCTTCTTCTATATTCTTGTCATTGGTTGGAGTTTCATGCTCATGTTGAGAAGGTTCAATCTCCTTTGCCTCAGTAAGCAATGTAGAAGATGGGATTTCAACTTGCTCTTGTGATATCCCTTCGTCGAGTGTCTGTCTAGTAGCGATCTTATCTTTCAAAACTACATCAATGCTCCTAGAATCAGATTCACGAACTATTTCAGAACCTTCTTTGAATTCTTCTTCAGTAGCTTCAACATCTAGCTTTTCCGGAGCCAATTCAGAAACCTCCGCATGCCCTTCTGTTTGCAAGCTTGTCTCTTCTGTTGTCTTTTCGGGAAAAGAAGATTTATCCTCCACGTCGCAAACCTCTTTTGCATCTGCTACGTCACTAATTTTGACAGGTACCTTCTCTTCTTCAGGTTCATATTTCTCCGAAGGCTGTGCTGAATCTTCTTCCCCTTTTGATGTTACCTCTGCATTTGATTCAGTAACTGTGACTGCATCATTATTGTCATCGTCTTCAGTAACATCCTCCTCCTTTGAAGCTTTTGCTGAATCTTGACTGCTACCTTCTCCCGGCTGTCCTTCTTCATACTTCACTGGTGAAGCATCAAAAAATTCTTCAGGTGTTTCAGCGATCTGATTCGTTTCATATGTGGTGCTCTCACCTACTCCAGCGATCTCTGGCTCTTTAAGTATCTGTACAAAAAATAAGTTTATAATCGAAACAGGCAAACAATAATTCCCCTAGAGACAAAGTAGGCTTTATAAGCTGACCTCTTCCTGTGAGTTTTCTGTCTCTTTGTCACAGTCTTGAGAGTGCTTAGCAGTTCCTTCTTCAATTATTTCTGGTGCACAAATTGCAGCACTGCGTTTTGTGGTTTGTCCTTCACTGGAATCTCCGTCAGTGCTCTTTGGCTCATCCAGGACCTGTTGTAGCAGTTGAGGCTTCGCAAAGAAAAGGAAGAGTTAGAGAATACGAAATTAGAGTTTCTATATAACGGTGCATGGTGTCACATGCTTATGGTCATCATATTGTATATTGTATATTGCATACCTCTTCAACTATCATGTTGTTATTTTCAGGATGGTCTTCTGATTCGCGACTCTCATCTTCAACTCTCAATTTTGGTTCTGCTTCCTCAAGGCTTTGCACTTGAAAGCTTTCCTCCACGGCCTTATCTCCCACCAGCTCTGTCTGGTAAGCAGTGGTCTCATCTCCCGAAACAACTTCAGTGCTTTGAGAATCAGATTTAGACACCTTTTCAAAAGATTTTTTTATTTCTTCTTTCGTTTCACCAGCATCCAGATTTTCTGGAGCCAATTCAGAAACTTTGAGCTCCCCGGGCTCTTCCTTCAGCAGTGTCTCTTCTGCCAATGTTGCAGCAACCAAATCGCTCCCATTTTCATCAGCTGGCACTTCTGTTTTCTTGGCATACTCTTCCTCTATAAATCTGTCTTGGGTTGTAGTTTCACGATCTTCTTGATAAGTTTTGAGCTCCTCTTCCATGGGAAGCAAAGCATAAGATGCCTCAAGGTGTGTTTGGTCAGCAACAATTTCATCTTTTGAAACTGCATCAATGCTTTGAGAATCGGATTTAGAGATTGTCTTAAGAGTTTCTTTGATTCCTTCTTCTGTATCACCGGCATCCAGCTTTTCCAGAGCCAACTCAGAAGCTTTGAGCTCTTTGGACTCTTCCTTTTGCAAGGGTGTCTCATCTTCTGACCTCTCAGCAGATAAATCTCTTGCATTTTCATCAGCTGGCATTTCCTTATCATGCTCTTCTTCTATATTCTTGTCTTTGGTTGGAGTTTCATGCTCATGTTGAGAAGCTTCGATCTCCTTTGCCTCAGTAAGCAATGTAGAAGATGGGATTTCAACTTGCTCTTGTGATATCCCTTCATCGAGTGTCTGACTAGTAACAATCTCATCTTTCGAAACTACATCAATGCTCCTAGAATCAGATTCAGGAACTACTTCAGAACTTTCTTTGAATTCTTCTTCAGTAGCTTCAACATCTAGCTTTTCCAGAGCCAATTCAGAAACCTCCGCATGCCCTTCCGTTTGCAAGCTTGTCTCTCCTGATGTCTTTTCGGCGAAAGAAGCTTTGTCCTCCAAATCGCAAACCTCTTTCGCATCTGCTACATCACTAATTTTGACCCGTACCTTATCTTCTTCTGGTTCAGATTTCTCCAAAGCCTGCGCTGACTCTTCTTCCCCTTTTGATGTAACCTCTGCACTTGATTCAGTAACTGTGACTGCACCATTATTGTCATCGTCTTCAGTAACATCCTCATCCTTTGAAGCTTTTGCTGAATCTTGACTGCTACCTTCTCCCGGCTGACCTTCTTCATACTTCACTGGTGCAGCACCAGAAATTTCTTCAGATGATTCAGCGATCTGATTTGTTTCATATGTGGTGCTCTCACCTACTCCAGCAATCTCTGTCTCTTTAAGTATCTGTACAAAAAAATAAGTTTATATTCAAAATTGACAAACAATAATTTCCCTAGAGACAAAGTAAGCTTTATAAGCTGACCTCTCCTTCGAACTTCACTGTATCCTGTTTGTTATCACCGAACTTTTTGCTTCCATCTTCCAGGATAAACTCTTGTGACGAGTCATCAGTTTTGCATGCTTTCACGCTCTCGATACTACTTCCCTCTTCCATTAAGTTTTCTGTCTCTTTGTCACTGTCTTGAGAGTTCTTAGCAGTTTCTTCTTGAATTCTTTCTGGTGTACAAATTGCAGCATTGCCTTCTGTGGTTTGTCCTTCACTGAAATCTCGGCCAGTGCTCTTTGGCTTATCCAGGACCTGTTCTGGCAGTTGAGGCTTCACAAAGAAAAGGACGAGTTAGAAAATACGAAATTAGCGTTTCTATATGATTGTGCATGGTTGTCAATGATTATGGTCATCATATTGTATATTGCATACCTCTTCAACTATCATGCTGTTATTCTCGGGATGGTCTTCTGATTCGCGACTCTCATCTTCAACTCTCAATTTTGGTTCTGCTTCCTCAAGGCTTTGCACTTGAAAGCTTTCCTCCGCGGCCTTATCTCCCGACAGCTCAGTGTTGTATTCGCCTTCATCTGCTACTGTTTGAATCTGGTTCTCTGAAAACTCTTCTGAGTCAACATTTTCCAAGGCGGCTCCATCTGTTAAGATGGTTGCTAGACCCTTCTCTTCATGATCAATTTCAATATCTTTGACCTGCTCTTTGGTTTCTGCTTCGGCTCCCTTCAAGTCTGTGTGGGTTTCTTCCTCTGAAGTAGGAGCATACAGATCCTCCTTTGGCTCTATACTGTCCTCTAACGTTTCAAATTTTGTTTCGTGTGCCGTATTTGCTACCTCAACCGGCTCTTTACATTCCACATTCGCTTCGTTTTCCTAGTATAAATGTGTAAATCGACAATTGTAAAGTTATGATATAATCGAACAATCTAATGAACTGATTTCTATATTGTATGCAAGCTGACCTCTTCTTTCAGACTCAAAACATAGTTTTCTTCTTGCTTTGAGCTTTCAATACTTGTGTCTTCTCCTACCAGCGAAGAAGAGAGTTCTCGACTGGCCTGTTCATCTGAGTTCTTTCCAACGATATCTGTACTCGAATCAGCTGCCTCAGATGACACCTAAATGGTAAAAAAAAAAGTGTTTCATAAGTGAAGAAGACCAAATATATGGATCATGTAATTCAGTACACTTGTTTTTTGTGTTCAAGTAAACCTGATATTCGTTCAAATTTTCTTCAGTTGTTTCTTTATCATTGAACTCTTGAGTGTTGTCCGCATCTGGATGAATTTCCCGGCTTGCATGTTCTCCCGTTTCTTGTTCCGTACTTGCAATCTCAAACACCTATATCAGAGATGAAAGGATTATAAACCGTGATATAAGTTCCAAAACATAACATGTCATAAATTGTTTATGCTAATCTTACCTCCTCTACTTCAGTTTCATTTTCCTTCGTATCATTCACGGGTGTTGTCTCTTCTTCTTTCTTTTCTTCATCCAAGGATTCTTGTATGTTCTGAATTTTTATTTCCTCTTTTGTGCAGGTAACTACTTCAGCATTTTCGCTCGATGATTCTGTCTTACTTTCTTCAGGCATCAGGTCGAGCAACTTTTCATGCCCCTCGACTGGTTCATATTCCTGCACGGCCTGTGGTAAACCTTCTTCACCATTTACGCCTGCACTTGTTTCTATAACCATGACTGCACCATTATCGCCATTGCCCTCTTCAGCCACTTTGGTAGAAAATGTGTCCTCATTGCTACCCTCCTCCTTCGAAACTGGACTGCTACTTTCTCCCTGCTCGCCTTCTTCACATGTCACCGGTGAAGTAACAATCTCTTCAGACCTTTCAGTCTCATATGTGATGCTCTTATCTACTCCATCAGCTTGTGACTTTTTAAGAATCTGCACAAAATACAACCTTATTATACATATACACATACAGATAAAAAAAATGAGAATTCCGTAGAGACAAAGTGTGCCTTATAAGCTGACCTCTCCTCCGGACTTCAACGCATCCTTTTCGTCATCTTTGAACGTTTCACTTTCATCTTCTGGAATGTGCTCCGGTGAGAGATCATCACCATTGCCTTCTTTTAAGCTCTCTATACAGCTTCCCTCTTCCTCTAAATTTTTATTCTCAGTTTCGATTTCTTGGGATTTGTTAACTGTATCCTCTCCAATTGATTCTTGTGTAAAACATGCGACATTGCCTTCTACAATTTCTTCTGTGTTGAAATCTCTGCCTGTGATCTTTGACTCATCAAAGACCTGCAAACATTGAAGTTTCGTAAAGAATAAGGAGAGATGGAGAAAATATGTTATTGACTGTTTGTCTATAATTCGGTGTGTTTGTGTCACAGGCATACATTCATTCATATTTTATATTGCGTACCTCTTCACCTATCGTGCTAGTCTTTTCAGGTTGAGCTTCTGATTTGCAACTCTCCTCTTCGACTCCCACTTTCGGTTCTGCTTCTTCAAGAATTTGCACTCCAGGGGTGTCATTCAAAACCACATTTCCATGTGCTATCTTCTCTTCACCTTCAGCTGCTGCTGTTGGATTCTCCTCGTCCGAGAACTCTTTTGTGTTGGAATTTTCCTCTGCTTGCAGTTGCACATAAGCATCATCAATGTCCAAGGCCGTTTCATCTTTTGAGATGGTTTCCAGAACCTTCTCTTCAGAAGCAATATCATTTTTGACCAGTTCATCGGATTTTGCTTCGGCTTCCCTCAAACGTGTTTCACCTTCCCCTTCTGCTGTTGGAATCTGCTCCTTCAAGTTCTCATTTGATTCAAAACTTTCCTCTGCTTGTACCTCAATATCTTTGGCGTCCAAGGATGTTCATCTGTTAAGATGTTTTCTAGACCCTTCTCTTCCGGGGCAATATCACTGCATTTTATATGCTCCTTGGTTTCTGCTTCGGCTTCCTTCAAGAACATTTCATCGTCCGTTGGGATTTTCTCCTTGAAGTCCTCTTTTGATTCAAAACTTCCCTCTGCTTGTACACCAATATCTTCCACGTCCAATGTTGCCTCATCTGTTGAGATGGTTGCTAGACTCTTCTCTTCAGGAGAAATATCGGTATTGTATATATGCTCCTTGCTTTCTGCTTCAGCTTCATTCAAGAATGTTCCACGCTCATGTGATGCACTTGGAATCTTCTCTTCCACGTTCTCTTTTGATTTGGAAACTTCATCAGATTTTACATCAATATCTTCCACGTCCAAAGATGTTTCATCCATTACAATGTTTGCAAGACCCTTCTCTTCAGGAACAATATCAGTATATTTGAACTGCTCCGTATTTATTGCTTCGGCTTCTTTCAAGCTTGTTTCATGTTCATCTGCTGTTGATGGAATCTTACTCTCCAAGTTCTCGCTCGTGTTGAAAGTTTCATCCGCTTGTAAACCAATATCTTCAATGTTCAAAGCCTTTTCATCTGTTAAGATGGTTGCTAGACCCTTGTCTTCAGGAGTAATATCACTATATTTTATCTGCTCCTTGTTTTCTGCTTCGGCTTCCTTCAAGAATGTTTCATCTTCATCAGCTGCGATTGGATTTTCTCCTCAGACTTCTCTTTTGATTCGAAACTTTCCTCTGCTTTTACACCAATATCTTCTGCTTCCAAGGGTGTCTCATCTGTTAAGATGGTTGCTAGACCCTTCTCTTCAGGAGCAATATCAGCATATGTGACCTGTTCCTTATCTTCTGCTTCGGCTTCTTTCAAGCTTGTTTCACCTTCATGTGCTATTGGCTGAATCTGATAATCTATGTTCTCTTCTGAATTGACAGTTTTCTCTGCTTGTGCATCAACATCTTCATGAGCAATATCAACATTTTTTATCTGCTCCTTGTTTTCTGCTTCGGCTTCTTTCGACATTATTTCACCTTCAACTGCTGCTATAGGAAATTGTTCCTCCAAGTTCTCTTCTGACTCAAGATTCTCCTTTAATTGTACATCAATATCTTCAACTTCCGAGGCCGTTTCATCTGCTGAGATGGTTGCTTGACCCTTCTCTTCAGGAGCAGTATCAATGTTTTTGTCCTGCTTTTCGATCTCTGTTTCAGATTCCTTCAAAGCTGTTACATGACTCAGTTCTCCGGACAGAGATTCAGAATTGCCAACTGTGTTGCCATCTTTCTCCTGAATATTTTTCTCAATCTCTGCCTCATATTCCTCATTGGGCTCATTACATGTTGCATGCGCTTCCTTTTCCTGTTGTCAATATGAGTTGTAAATTTCAATTTGCAAGATAATACTATGGTGTATTTTAATCTAAAATTTGATATCGAATGCTAGATTACCTCTTCTTCTAGAAGTGTAGTGTAGGTTTCTTCTTCCATTGGGATTTCGTTAGTTGCTTCTTCTACTACCAGCGGAGAAGAGAGTTCCTGAATGGCATGTTCCTCTAAGTTCTTTTCCTCTGCACTTGTACTCAAATCAGCTGCCTCAGTACATTCCTAACATTAGAAGGGAAAAAAAACATAGGTTATGTACTGGGAGACGAAGAAAAAGGATAGCACTTGTAGGCTTTATGTTTGTGTCCAGGTAAACCTGATATTCCGCGGAGTTGTCTTCATTTGTTTCTTTATCAATGGAATCTCGAGGGGGTTCTGGGACAGTATGAATGTCGTGTACCACATGTTCTCCAGTTTCTTGCTCCGTACTGGTAGTCTCAAGCACCTACATTAGAGATGAAACAGTCATAATATATAAGGAGAAAATAGATTTTAGAAATCGTTTGTACCATATTCAAATAAACCATCTTATTTTCGCATATTCATAGCTATCAGAGAGACGCTATGAATCCTGCATTTGGGTCAATAACTAAACCGTATAGTGAGACTACTAGCCAGATGATAAGCCAGAAAGAAAAACTCATAAAAAAAATTATTCCAATCTTACCTCCTCCCTTTCAGTGTCATCTTTTGTGTTTGTAATTTCAGTCACTTCTTCTTTGTCTTTGTCTGAGGATTCTTGTGAATTCAAAGTTTCCTCATCAATCTGCTCCTTGTTTTCTGCTTCGGCTTCCTTCAAGACTTTTTCACCTTCATCTGCTGCTGTTGGAATATGCTCCTCCACGTTCTCTTTTGATTTGAGAGTTTCCTCTGCTTGTACACCGATATCTTCAACATCCAAGGGTGTCTCAGTTGTTGAGATGGTTGCCATCTCTTCAGGAACAATATCAATACTTTTGACCTGCTCCTTAATTTCTGCTTCAGCTTCTCCCAAGCCTGTTTCTCGTTCACCTGATGTTGTTGGAATCGGGTTCTCCAAATTCTCTAGTGTAATAAAATTTTCATCTGCTTGTACTTCAATATGTTCATGAGAAATATAAGTACTTTTTTCACCTTCATTTGCTGTTGTTGGAATCTGCTCCTCCACATTCTCTTTTGATTCAGCACAGTCCTCAGTTTTTACCTCAATATCCTCAAAGTCTAAGGGTGTTTCATCTGTTAAGATGGTTGCTAGACCCTTCTCTTCAGGAGCAATATCAGCATGTATGACCTGCTCCTTATATTCTGCTTCGGCTGCTTTCAAGCTTGTTTCACATTCCCCTGCTGGAATCTGCTTATCCAAGTTCTCTTCAGAACTATCGATTTCATCTCCGTGTCCATCAATATCTGCATGAGGAATATCAGCATTTTTAATATCATCCTTGCTTTCTGCTTCAGCTTCCTTCGGGAATGTTTCACCTTCATCTGCTGCTGTTGGAACATTCTCCTCCAAGTCCTCATTTGATTCGACATTTTTCTCTGCTTGCACATTGGTATCTTCCACGTCGAAGGATTTTTCATTTGTTAAGATGGTTTCCAGAACCTTCTCTTCAGCAGCAACATCACTATTGTTTATCTGCTCCTCATTTTCTGCCTCAGCTTCCTTCGAGAATGTTTCAACCTTGTCTGCTGCTGTTGGAATATGCTCCTCCAAATTCTCTTTTGATTCACATTTTTCCTCTGCTTGTACACCAATATCTTCAACTTCCGAGGCCGCTTTACCTTTCAAGATGGTTGCTTGACCCTTCTCTTCCGGAGCAGTATCAATGTTTTCTTTCAAGATGGTTGCTTGACCCTTCTCTTCAGCAGCAGTATCAATATTTTTGTCCTGCCTTTCAATCTCTGTTTCAGATTCATGCGAGGCTGTTACATGACTCAGTTCTCCAGACAGAGATTCAGAATTGCTAACTGTGTTGCCATCTTTCTCCTGAATATTTTTCTCAATCTCTGCCTCATATTTCTCAGTCGGCTCGTTACATGTTGCATGCCCTTCCTTTTTCTGTTGTGGATATGAACTGTAAATTTGAATTTGCAAGATAATACTATAATGTAATAATCTAAAATTTTGATATCCTATGCTAGATTACCTCTTCTTCTAGAAGCGTGGCGTAGGTTTCTTCTTCCTTCGGGATTTCATTAGTTTCTTCTTCTACCACCAGCGGAGAAGAGAGTTCCTGAATGTCATGTTCCTCTAAGTTCTTTTCCTCTGCAGTTGTACTCAAATCAGCTGCATCAGTACATGCCTAACATTGGAAGGAAAAAAACACAAAGGTTATGCACTGGGAGACGAAGAAAAAGGATAACTCTTTTGTAGGCTTTATGTTTGTGTCCAGGTAAACCTGATATCCCGCGGAGTTCTCTTCATTTGTTTCTTTATCAACGGAATCTCGAGGGGTTTCCACGACAGTATGAATTTCGTGTACCACATGTTCTCCAGTTTCTTGCTCCGTGCAGGTATTCTCAAGCACCTACATTAAAGATGAAACCGTCGTAATATGTAGGAGAGAATAGATTTTACAAATCGTTTGTGCCATTTTAAATAAAACTTTGTTTTTTCGCATGTTCATATCTATCAGTGATACGTTATGAATCCTGCATTTCGGTCAATAACTAAACCGCGTTAAGGAAACTACTTGTCGGATGATAAGACCGAAAGAAAAATTCATGAAAAGGTTTATTCCAATCTTACCTCCTCCCTTGCTGTGTCATCTTCTAGTGTGTTAGTAGTTTCAGTCACTTCTTGTTTTCCTTTGTCTGAAGATTCTTGTGAATTCAAATTTTCCTCGTCGATCAGCTCCTTGTTTTCTGCTTTGGATTCCTTCAAGAATTTTCCACCTTCATCTGGTGCTGTTGGAATCTGCTCCTCCATGTTCTCTTTTGATTTGAGGCTTTCCTCTGCTTGTACACCGATAACTTCAACATCCGAGGGTGTCTCAGCTGTTGAGATGGTTGCCATCTCTTCGGGAACAATATCAATACTTTTGACCTGCTCCTTAATTTCTGCTTCAGCTTCTCCCAAGCCTGTTTCTCGTTCACCTGATGTTAGAATCGGCTTCTCCAAATTCTCTAGTGTAATAAATTCATCTGCTTGTACTTCAATATCTTCAGGAGAAATATAAGTACTTTTTTCGCCTTCATCTGCTGTTGTTGGAATCTGCTCCTCCACATTCTCTTTTGATTCAACACAGTCCTCAGTTTTTACCTCAATATCCTTGACATCTAAGGGTGTTTCATCTGTTAAGACGGTTGCTAGACCCTTCTCCTCAGGAACAATATCAGCACTTTTAATCTCATCCTTGCTTTCTGCTTCAGTACTTTTAATCTCATCCTTGCTTTCTGCTTCAGCTTCCTGCAGGGATGTTTCGCCTTCATCCGCTGCTGTTGGAATAGTCTCCTCCAAGTTCTCATTTGATTCGACATTTTTCTCTGCTTGCACATTGGTATCTTCCACGTCGAAGGTTCTTTCATTTGTTAAGATGGTTTCCGAAACCTTCTCTTCAGCAGCAACATCACCATTGTTTATCTGCTCCTCATTTTCTGCCTCGGCTTCCTTTGAGAATGTTTCAACTTTGTCTGCTGCTGTTGGAATATGCTCCTCCAACTTCTCTTTTGATTCACAATTTTCCTCTGCTTGTACACCAATATCTTCAACTTCCGAGGCCATTTCATCTTTTAAGACGGTAGCTTGAACCTTCTCTTCCGGAGCAGTATCAATGTTTTCTTTCTGCTCCTCCTTTTCTGTTTCAGCTTCCTTCAAACCTGTTACATGACTCACTTCACCTGACGCAGAGTCAGAATTGCTGACAGCCGGGCCATTTTTCTCCTGAACATTTTTCTCAGTCCCCGTCTCAGATACCTCAGCGAGTGTGGAAATATTTTCAACAAATGTTTTGTTGCTTTCTCCTGAAATTGGAGCATTGACGTCCTTATTTGGCTCTGTTATGTCCTCTGTGGTTTCAGATCGTGTTTCATGTGTCATACTCGCTACCTCAGCAGGCTCATTACATTCTGTATCTTCTTCCTTTATCTGCAGGGGGATACCAATTCTTGATTGGAATATGTAATACAATGAACTATAATGTAAAAATCGAAAATTCTGATATCATGCTAACCTCTTCTTTTAGAATCAAGACAGCGGTTTCTTTCAAGCTTGTTTCACCTTCATGTGCTATTGGCAGAATCTGCTTATCTATGTTCTCTTCTGAGTTGACAGTTTTCTCCGCTTGTGCATCAACATCTTCATGAGCAATTTCAACATTTTTTATCTGCTCCTGGTTTTTTGCTTCAGCTTCTTTCAAGATTATTTCACCTTCATCTGCTGCTGTTGGAAATTGTTCCTCCAAGTTCTCTTTAGACTCAAGGTTCTCCTTTAATTGTACATCAATATCCTCAACTTCCGAGGCTGTTTCATCTGCTGAGATGGTTGCTTGACCCTTCTCTTCAGGAGCAGTATCAATGTTCCTGTCCTGCCTTTCAATCTCTGTTTCACATTCCTTCAAGGCTGTTACATGACTCAGTTCTCCAGACAGAGATTCAGAATTGCTAACTGTGTTGCCATCTTTCTCCTGAATATTTTTCTCAATCTCTGCCTCATATTCCTCATTGGGCTTGTTACATGTTGCATGCCCTTCCTTTTCCTGTTGCCGATATGAGTTGTAAATTTCAATTTGCAAGATAATACTATAGTGTATTTTAATCTAAAAATTTGATATTGAATGCTAGATTACCTCTTCTTCTAGAAGCGTGGGGTAGGTTTCTTCTTCTTTCGGGATTTCTTTAGTTGCTTCTTCTACTACCAGTGGAGAAGAGAGTTCCCGAATGGCATGTTCCTCTAAGTTCTTTTCCTCTGCACTTGTACTCAAATCAGCTGCCTCAGTACATGCCTAACATTGGAAGGGAAAAAAAAAACAAAGGTTATGTACTGGGAGACGAAGAAAAAGGATCACACTTTTGTAGGCCTTATGTTTGTGTCCAGGTAAACCTGATATTCCGCGGAGTTGTCTTCATTTGTTTCTTTATCAATGGAGTCTCGAGGGGGTTCTGGGACAGTATGAATTTCGTGTACCACATGTTCTCCAGTTTCTTGCTCCGTACTGGTAGTCTCAAGCACCTACATTAGAGATGAAACCATCATAATATATAAGGAGAAAATAGATTTTAGAAATCGTTCTTACCATTTTAAAATAAAACATAGTTTCTTCGCATGTTCATATGCATCTGTGATACGTTATGAATCTTGCATCTTAATCAATAACAAAACCGTGTAGGGAGACTACTTGTCAGATGGTAAGCCAGAGAGAAAAACTCATAAAAAAATTTATTCCGATCTTACCTCCTCCCTTTCAGTGTCATCTTCTATTGTGTTTGTAATTTCAGTCACTTGTTCTTGTAAATTCAAATTTTCCTCGTCGATCAGCTCCTTGTTTTCTGCTTTGGATTCCTTCAAGAATCTTTCATCTTCATCCGCTGCTGTTGGAATCTGCTCCTCCACGCTCTCTTTTGATTTGAGGCTTTCCTCTGCTTGTACACCGATAACTTCAACATCCGAGGGTGTCTCAGCTGTTGAGATGGTTGCCATCTCTTCAGGAACAATATCAATACTTTTGACCTGCTCCTTAATTTCTGCTTCAGCTTCTCCCAAGCCTGTTTCTCGTTCACCTGATGTTGTTAGAATTGGCTTCTCCAAATTCTCTAGTGTAATAAAATTTTCATCTGCTTGTACTTCAATATCTTCAGGAGAAATATAAGTACTTTTTCCGCCTTCATCTACTGTTGTTGGAATCTGCTCCTCCACATTCTCTTTTGATTCGACACAGTCAGTTTTTACCTCAATATCCTCGACATCTAAGGGTGTTTCGTCTGTTAAGACGGTTGCTAGACCCTCCTCTTCAGGAACAATATCAGCATGTTTGACCTGCTCCTTATATTCTGCTTCGGCTGCTTTCAAGCTTATTTCACGTTCGCCTGCTGGGATCTGCTTATCCAAGTTCTCTTCAGAATTATCAATTTCATCTCCATGTCCATCAGTATCTGCATGAGCAATATCAGTACTTTTAATCTCATCCTTGCCTTCTGCTTCAGCTTCCTGCAGGGATGTTTCGCCTTCATCCGCTGCTGTTGGAATAGTCTCCTCCAAGTTCTCATTTGATTCGACATTTTTCTCTGCTTGCACATTGGTATCTTCCACGTCGAAGGTTCTTTCATTTGTTAAGATGGTTTCCGAAACCTTCTCTTCAGCAGCAACATCACCATTGTTTATCTGCTCCTCATTTTCTGCCTCGGCTTCCTTTGAGAATGTTTCAACCTTGTCTGCTGCTGTTGGAATATGCTCCTCCAACTTCTCTTTTGATTCACAATTTTCCTCTGCTTGTACACCAATATCTTCAACTTCCGAGGCCATTTCATCTTTTACGATGGTTGCTTGACCCTTCTCTTCCGGAGCAGTATCCATGTTTTCTTTCTGCTCCTCCTTTTCTGTTTCAGCTTCCTTCAAACCTGTTACATGACTCACTTCACCCGACGCAGAGTCAGAATTGCTGACAGCCAGGCCATTTTTCTCAGTCTCCATCTCAGATACCTCAGCGAGAGTGGAAATATTTTCAACAAATGTTTTGTTGCTTTCTCCTGAAATTGGAGCATTGAGGTCCTTATTTGGCTCTGTTATGTCCTCTGTGGTTTCAGTTCGTGTTTCATGTGTCATACTCGCTACCTCAGAAGGCTCGTTACATTCTGTATCTTCTTCCTTTTTCTGCAGGGGATATCAATTCTTGATTGGAATATGTAATGCAATAGACTATAATGAAAAAAATCGAAAATTCTTATATCATGCTAACCTCTTCTTTTAGAATCAAGACAGCGGTTTCTTTCAAGCTTGTTTCACCTTCATGTGCTATTGAAGGAATCTGCTTATCTATGTTCTCTTCTGAGTTGACAGTTTTCTCCGCTTGTGCATCAACATCTTCATGAGCAATATCAACATTTTTTATCTGCTCCTGGTTTTCTGCTTTGGCATCTTTGGAGATTATTTCACCTTCATCTGCTGCTATCAGAAATTGTTCCTCCAAGTTCTCTTCTGACTCAAGATTCTCCTTTAATTGTACATCAATATCCTCAACTTCCGAGGCCATTTCATCTGCTGAGATGGTTGCTTGACCCTTTTCTTCAGGTGCAGTATCAATGTTTTTGTCCTGCCTTTCAACTTCCGGGATTTCTTTAGTTGCTTCTTCTACTACCAGTGGAGAAGAGAGTTCCCGAATGGCATGTTCCTCTAAGTTCTTTTCCTCTGCACTTGTACTCACATCAGCTACCTCAGTACATGCCTAACATTGGAAGGGAAAAAAAACATAGGTTATGTACTGGGAGACGAAGAAAAAGGACAGCACTTGTAGGCTTTATGTTTGTGTCCAGGTAAACCTGATATTCCGCGGAGTTGTCTTCATTTGTTTCTTTATCAATGGAATCTCGAGGAGGTTCTGGGACTCTATGAATTTCGTGTACCACATGTTCTCCAGTTTCTTGCTCCGTGCTGGTAGTCTCAAGCACCTACATTAGAGATGAAACCGTCATAATATATAAGGAGAAAATAGATTTTAGAAATCGTTTGTACCATATTAAAAATAAACCATCGTATTTTCGCATATTCATATTTATCAGTGATACGTTATGAATCCTGCATATCGGTCAATAACTAAACAGATGATAAGCCAGAGAGAAAAACTCATAAAAAAGTTTATTCCGATCTTACCTCCTCCCTTTCAGTGTCATCTTTTGTGTTTGTAATTTCAGTCACTTCTTCTTTTTCTTTGTCTGAGGATTCTTGTGAATTCAAAGTTTCCTCGTCAATCTGCGCCTTGTTTTCTGCTTCGGCTTCCTTCAAGAATTTTTCACCTTCATCTGCTGCTGTTGGAATATGCTCCTCCACGTTCTCTTTTGATTTGAGAGTTTCCTCTGCTTGTACACCGATATCTTCAACGTCCAAGGGTGTCTCAGTTGTTGAGATGGTTGCCATCTCTTCAGGAACAATATCAATACTTTTGACCTGCTCCTTAATTTCTGCTTCAGCTTCTCCCAAGCCTGTTTCTCGTTCACCTGATGTTGTTCGAATCGGCTTCTCCAAATTCTCTAGTGTAATAAAATTTTCATCTTCTTGTACTTCACTATCTTCAGGAGAAATATAAGTACTTTTTTCGCCTTCATCTGCTGTTGTAATCTGCTCCTCCACTTTCTCTTTTGATTCGACACAGTCCTTGGGTGTTTCATCTGTTAAGATGGTTGCTAGACCCTTCTCTTCAGGAGCAATATCAGCATGAATGACCTGCTCCTTATATTCTGCTTCGGCTGCTTTCAAGCTTGTTTCACATTCCCCTGCTGGAATCTGCTTATCCAAGTTCTCTTCAGAACTATCGATTTCATCTCCGTCTCCATCAATATCTGGATGAACAATATCGTCATTTTTAATCTCATCCTTGCTTTCTGCTTCAGCTTCCTTCGGAAATGTTTCACCTTCATCTGCTGCTCTTGGAATATTCTCCTTCAAGTTCTCATTTGATTCGACATTTTTCTCTGCTTGCACATTGGTATCTTCCACGTCGAAGGATTTTTCATTTTTCTCTGCTTGCACATCGGCTTCCTTCGAGAATGCTTCACCCTCATCTGCTGCTGTTGGAATATGCTCCTCCAAATTCTCTTTTGATTCACAATTTTCCTCTGCTTGTACACCAATATCTTCAACTTCCGAGGCCGTTTCATCTTTTAAGATGGTTGCTTGACCCTTCTCTTCTGGAGCAGTATCGATGTTTTCTTTCTGCTCCTCCTTTTCTGTTTCAGCTTCCTTCAAACCTGTTACATGACTCACTTCACCCGATGCAGAGTCAGAATTGCCAACCGCCAGGCCATCTTTCTCCTGAATATTTTTCTCTGTCTCCGTCTCAGATACCTCAGCGAGGGTGGAAATATTTTCAACAAATGTTTTGTTGCTTTCTTCTGAAATTGGAGCACTGAGTCCCTTATTTGGCTCTGTTGTGTCCTCTGTGGTTTCAGATTGTGTTTCATGTGTCAAACTCGCTACCTCAGCGGGCTCGTTACATTCTGCATCTTCTTCCTTATTCTGCAGGGGATACCAATTCTTGATTGGAATATGTAATACAACAGACTATAATGTGAAAATCGAAAATTCTGATATCATGCTAACCTCTTCTTTTAGAATCAAGACACCGGTTTCTTCTTCCTTTGGGATTTCCTTAGCTGTTTCTTCTACTGCCAACGGAGAAGAGAGTTCCGGAATGGCTTGTTCCTCTAAGTTCTTTTCCTCTGTATATGTACTCAAATCGGCTGCCTCAACACATGCCTAAAATTGAAAAAAAGAAAAAACGAAAGGTCATATACTTGGAGACGAAGAAATAGGATAGCACTTTTGGTAGGGTTTATGTTTGTGTTCAAGTAAACCTGAGACTCTGTGGAGGTTTCTTCATTTGTTTCTTTATCAACGAAATCTTGAGGGGATTCCGTATGGATTTCCCCAACCAAGTGTTCTCCAGTTTCTTGTTTTGTACCGGAAGTCTCAAGCACCTACATTAGCGACGAAACCATCATAAACTGAGATGGCAGATCATAAACCAGAAATAAAAACTCATGAAAAGCGTTAATTCCAATCTTACCTCCTCCCTTGCATTGTCATCTTCTAAATTACTTGTGTTTTCAGTCGCTTCTTTATTTTCTTCTTCCAAGGATTCTTGCATGTGCTGAATTGTTGTTTCCTCTTTTGTGCAGGTACTTTCTTCTGCATTTTCCCGGGATGTTTCTGTCTTAGTTTCCTCAGGCAACACATCCTGCGAATGTTGAAGCTCCTCTCCTGAATCACTTCTCTGCAAGGTCTGTGGTGAACTTTCATCATCATTTGGTGTTACTTTTGCGCTTGTTTCTTTAATCGTGACTGCACTAGTATACTCATCATCTTCAGCCACTTTGGCGCTAAATGTATCTACATCTTTGTCATCCTTAGTTACGTTGGTGCCATCTCCCTGATCACCTTCGTCACTTTTCACCGTTGAAACATTAAGAACTTCTTCAGATGTTTCAACAATTTCATTTGGCTCCGATATGGTGCTCTCACCTACTTCAGCAATCTCTGACTCCGTAACAATTCGCATCAAGATACTTGCCACTGGGAGATTCTGCAACATCAATAGAACACGAACTGAGTCTTTTGATAAAAAGGTTTTGAGATATATTTTCAATTGAATTATGCAACCAAGAAACTCAAAAAATTTCCACACTTTCTAGTTCAAATGAAAAGGGTTCAAGCAAGTATATTATTAACCTGTTCATCGGGAGTTTCATCTCCAATGGTGTCATAACTAGTATTTGCTTCCTCTACCCTCCCCTCTTCCTCGAAGCTTTGTTCTACAACTTGTCTCTCATCTCCAGCAGTGGTGATTGTTTTTGAACTTTCTCTTGAAGTTGCTGCTTCGTCCTCCTCAGAATTTAACTTCGGTCTAGCAAGCTCATAGGTGACAGGCTGAATGCTCCCATATAAGTTGGTCTCGCTTTCGCCTTCGTGATCTGTTGAACTCGTTTTGCTGTGCTCTACAGTAGAAAATCCTTCACTATGTTCCTCCACCACCACTGAAGCCTCTCCTATATCCAGTGCCTCACCTTTTCTCCGTGCATCTTCCTCTTGTTTGTCAACCTTTGAATCTGAGAATGTTTCTAAAGGATTTCCGCACTCTGAGATTCCGTTCTTGCTTTCAAGGTGCGCAATTTCACCCTCTACAAAGCATTTCACCGGTTCAGGACGTTGATCCTCCTCGCCTTCCGATTTTTTCAATTGTACTGGGGAAAATTGGTTGACAGTTATGTCAAACTTCCCCGTTGTCAGATGTCCGCCTTCCCCTTCCGTCTGCATTACAAAGGAAACATTACATTTTTCAAATTTTCATAACTAGGACTAGGAGGCAAAACAAAAGAAACATAGTCACACTGAATGCAAAGCTTCAAAATTTTCATTACTCCTATACTTTTCGTGTTTATTTTACGAAGAAGCTGTTGCAAGAGATCATTCGTTGCTCAGCGGAAGGAGACATTTTAACCGTCGTACAACGAACAATAGCAATCTAAGCATGGAATTCGAAACTAGAATCTCCTCGTTTCTCCGTTCTTTATACACACTAATGTTTTTTTCTCTTTATTTTTCGTCGCGCAGACTGTACCGTTAAGAGTTCATTCTTCCACAACACATGAAAGGAGTAGCTCAACGTAGCGTTCTTTCAGAACAAATATCTTCACTTTGCATAGTTGTCTGTTTCTTCTCTTTCATTACATCAGGCCATCCTGAATTTAATACTATGAAATCTAACATACTACGAGAAAATCCGAGTTTATAAACTATTTCTAAGATTCGATACGGTTTGATCTTTGATTATCAATCCAAACAAGCTTTAAGCATAACCATATATACTAGTTTACGTTGAATTTTTCGCGTGTCTACGTTGCTATCTGGATTTCTTGCTCAAAAAACAAACTGCTGAAACTAGTAACACATGATCTTGCCTACTTATTATTTACTTAATACCGTAGATTACAGCGGATCAATCTTTCGATTACGTGATTAAACTACTAAAAACCATCTTATAAGATAAGGTTATATCCTACATACGTACAAAGATCGATCATAATATTACAAGAAGAAAAATAACAGTAAGCAATTTGACTGAGAGTGATGAAGAAACCGTACCGTGGCGGATACTGATTCCGGAACCTCAGCTTCCGCTGCCATCAGTATTCAGATTCTGGATTCTGAGTCGCATGAAGAAACCTTGTTCTGATCAAAACTTACAAAATCTCGGTACTTCAAAAGCAAGCTTAAAAGTCTGCAGCTTTAAGTTGAATCTGTCGATGTGGGATTTAAAGTTGAAAGTTTGATCATTAGATATCTGTACTAATCACTTGATTGTTATATTGGAAAAAGCAGCCAAAGAAGTGACAAAATTGGAACTGTTTTCTTCATATATTATGAATGTGTTGTATTGGTCTGAGTTGGCCACTATGGCAATGGTCCTACTGATTGATTGATCTCCCACATGGCCATGTAAGTAACACTAATGCAGCTTTATAGAAGCTGGGGAAATTCAATTAGGATCAATAATTCTTAGGTTATTAAGATTTTTTTTTTTTTTTTTTTTTTTTGTAAAAATGACCAGCTAGTTGCGAAGTCACAGTAGTTTACTTTTTTTGGGGGTCGAAAAGACTCACAGAGACATTTTAGCATTTTTTTTGCCACAGTCGTATGATTCATCAATGTCAGAAATCCAATATAAGGCAAGCTATCTAGAATACTAACCTAGAATTCACCTCAACCACTAGGCCACCTTGTGGTGGTTTAGGTTATTAATATTGATTATGATGTTTAATCCACCTACAGTCGGAAGCAGCTTGACTTTTTGACAGTTTCCTTTTTGTCTGACCACTATATATAATGGTGGGTTTACACCTTTACAGCTCCCCAATCTGCGTACTACAATTTGTCTTTGCAGAAAATCTTTTGTAGGAATTGAACTTTTATAGTTTGTGTTACTGGAGGAAGTTGAGGTTCGACATTGTTAGAAGCTCTTTTCTGTATGGAGAGTTAAATGTGTGAAAAACGCATATCGAGTGACTTGAAGTATGTATAACATTTGAATTTCATATGTAAAGCAACCTACTCTGATACCTTACTCAGTATAATTACTACCGTTGATTATTGATCCCAAAATTATTTGAATTTCCATTTTAAGTTACATTCTGTGTCATTCATGATATTTAAATTTTAAACTCGCGACTTATTTTAACAAAGTAAAATTGAACGCCGCTAGGCCGATACGTCCAATGAACAGAAAAGGTCTTGCAATGCCTGATCATTGTGGGGGTTTAAGCGCAGATTTAACCTTTCAATTTTTTGAAGAAACAGTTGCAGACATCAATGTGGAAGATTACGTATGGGAGAGATTTTTCAATGTGATCGTCACACAAGACGGTACATCAAGTGTCTCTATGTAAATGGTTGGATATGTATGTTAAAAGGTTAATAACTTAAAAATTAAAATTTTCCACCATTTACATAAAAACACGTAGTGTACCATCTGTATTTCCGTCACAATTAAAAATTTTCCTACGTATAGGGGTAAGTTTTCAAACCGCCTTAAACTGAACTAATTAGTGTAAAGAAAATATGAAAAAGCAATTTTGGAGCAAGTGCTTCTGGTTGGCTGCTTTTCTAATGAGTCCAAGGACAATATTCTCTCCACGATAACGACCGTGATTATGATATTTAAACTTAAACACTCATCTGAGGATGGATCTGGATCCTCGCCGGATCCCCTTCCTGGGGTCCTAGGGATCAACGCACATGAATAGTTAATAAAAAATCGTGCGGCTCCAATTAAATGTTTTTTATATTTTTAGAAATAAAGTAACCTCGCTTTGCATGAAAATATAAAAAATAAAAAAATTACGACCGCACTATTTTTTATCAACAGTTCAAGTATGTTAATCCCTAAAATCCCAAAAGGGGATCCGGCAAGGATCCAAATTCTGAGGATTTACAAGACAATATAAAATGAAGGTCCACGTTGGCAAGCGTGGAGGGGCCCCACGGCTTAGGTGTCCCAGGAAACATCTCCTTGATTCTCAACATCCGATTGGAATATATTACTTTTGTTGTTAATTTATATGAGAAAATGTCAAAGAGTTTCTCTCAAAAGTGTCATTTTTTATAAAAAAAAATTGACAGCTCACAGTTTAACATCAATTCTTAAGCCAAGATTATATAACATTCTCCTGAAAATATGAAGTGACAAAGATTTTACAGATAATCATATTTTCGAGAGAGTCTCCGAACACATCTCTAATTATGTTTAGAAAGGTTGGTGCTATTAGGACCAAATTATTCAATGATATCATTTGTTACCCTCCATTATATATCTCTCCCTTTTGATAAATATTTTATTACTTATCATCTTACTAAAGTTATGAGTGAATTCGAAGAAAGTTTACACATATTTCTTTTACGTTCCTCCCACCACTTTTCATCCAACGTTCTTTGTTTGTCCTCGTGTCTTTTCCATCTTTTCTCCACCAACAAATGAAAACAAATTTTACGAAACGTAACTTGTGAATACCGTGATCTGATTGTCCCAACACAAGTTTTGGACTGTAGACCGAAAGAGTACCATGCTTACGTGGATTTTTTAGTCTTGGCGTGCCAAGTTGGCGCATCATCCAGCTAGATGATCGGTATTTAGGACCATATACGCCGTCCAAATAGCTAGAATAATTGTGTCAAATGAAAATGATCAAAATTCAAAGAGTATACCTAACTTTGTATTCATATAATAAGTTTGTTTAGAAATGATTTTAAAATGAGATGAAACCGCTTTTAGAGAATAATTTTGGGTTCCAAAAATACTTAAAGTGTTTTCTAAAGGAAACATTAGTTATGTACTTATTTTAGGAAGCACTTCATGTTACATCCTAGACCAGCTCTGCCGTATCACAATATTGTCCACTTTGGGCCAACCACACCCTCACGGTATGGGAACTCACACGAGAATTTCCTAGTGGGTCACCCATCTTGGGAATACGCTCGCACGAACTTGCTTAACTTCGGAGTTCTAATGGAATCCGAAGCCAATGAGTCCCCAAAAAGTCTCGTGTTATAGGGAGATAGACATGTACATATAAGACACATCACCCCCTCTCCGTTGGTTGATGTGAGATGTTACACTTCAAGTGCATTTATAGAATTCACTTGCTTTTTTTAGTAAAATTAATTCCAAAAATATTTTCACAAAAAGTGTTTCCAATCTTTTAAAAACATTTTTAAACGAAGCCATAATAAAGATTTATGAGAAAAATAGCATAAAATTACAAGACAACAATCTCCATCAAAACCGACCAAATAAAAGCATATTATTGCTTTCGATTGCCGCCCCCACTTGGATAAGCAAAAGAGACTGCAACTTGGCTGTATTTTTTCAACGAAAATAATCTTTATATACAAGAAAAATAAATAGTATTATTTTTCAATTTGATCACTTCATTCAGAAAGAAATTTGCGGTTCTGCTTATGGCATGCAGCATTGCGTTATACATCTTGATTTAAAATGCTTTGAAATATTTTAATGAAATTAAAGAATTCATAATCTGTCCGGTGCTTGAAGGTCTGCTGAAACAGTAGGAAGTAAGGCTTTCTATGCGCATTGTTTAGGTAGTTTTCATTCCATATCTAAAAGCAAACGGGCGAACCCGTCACTTTAAGAGTTAAAAGAGTGGTTGAATATTATAAATTGTTGTATATTATATTGGGGTCTTTTGAAACAGGTCCAATTGGACTAAAAATTGGACCTATTTCAAAAATCAACATCACACAAAAATTGGACCTGTTTCAAAAGTAGGTTATAAAATTGGACCTATTTCAAAATTCAACATCACACAAAAATTGGACCTGTTTCAAAAGTAGGTTATAAAATTGGACTTATTTCAAATTATCCCTATTATATTTTACTATATCAGAATGGTTAGGGCCAGTTTGAGATTATTGTGCTTTTGTAAAAAAATTGTTTCTGATGTACATTAAGAATAATCAGTTGTAAAATAAAACAGTTGAGCATTTGATATACTATATTTTTTTAAATGTTGTGAGTATGAAAAGCAAAGTGAAAGTTTTTGGTAAATTTGAGTGTAAACGTGATATAAAATGGACATAGTAATGATCGTAGTGGCAACAACATTGGTTGCAGCGCCAATGGTGGTGCTAATAATAGGGTATGGTGGTT